GGAGGTCTGTCGAGAACCAGCCGGTTTTCGAGTAGAGGTCAATACTTCTGATTGGGTCCGTCAGAGTGCCGAAGTATGGATGTCATGAGTGCTCGCATATAATTGCTGGGGACCTCTGTATGAACTCCATCCACGTGAGCTGCATGACAACTTCCCGCATCGGAGCTCCAAGTGCTCAGCTCGGAGCTCACAGTCCGGGTGGATTCCATAGTTTCTTCGGACTCAGAAAAATTTTCAGTGCAGTGTTCGGGGACTTTTGAAGGTTCTGGTGGGTGTGGCGTGAGCTCATGAAGCTTTACGGGCTAACGTTCCGCAGAGAGACTCGAATGATGCTGATGGCGGAGTCGATTCGAGCAGGGCCGCTTCGACCTTCATGAACCCTCCGAATTGCCGAACAATAAAACAATAAAACCTTGAGAGCTTCGGCGCTCATACCATCGATGGATGTTTTCGCGTAGGCCGTCATCCGACGTACACTCGATTCAGATGTACGTGCGTGCGTTCACTACGGGATCTCAAGAACGAAATCGAGTGAACTTGCGACGGAAACGCATTCATGGGATGCACGAGGAATATCCTCTGACGACTGTTCGGCGCATTCCGGAATTCCCCGAACCGAATTCCACGGGTCTCGAGCAGCGTTGCGATGAGTGCCTCTCAGAGGGTGAACTCGAGGGCGTACCTGTTGCGGAACGTTATTCGAGCTGCGCAGTGAACAATGGACGAGGTGAACGCTTACCTTGTGATGATGAAATGACTACTTTATACCTTCGTCATTGAGGACAGAATGTCCTCATGTATTCGCCACTTTCGCACGATAGTCTTTGCGTTTCGTATCATCGGAGGCATCCGCGACGACCACGAGGGCTGCGGACACGATGAGGTACACCACGGGGATGCGCACGCAATCGAGGAGCTTCTACGCAACACAGCCGTAATCTGAACCGCGTACCTACTTCCGCGTCTGTAGCCTTGCGACGTTCGATCGTGACATTGCGGAAGAACGTTTGCTCGTGCGGCAACGGTCGACATGATGATTTCTTTTCCGGTCGCCTTTCCTATGGAGCGCAATGGCAGAGCTCAGCATATCGAATTCCTTTTTCCGAATAACTCGGGCCTTGTCAGCTGCGGATATTTCTTGTGGTGTCCGATTCTCGCCGTGCAGATGTCGAGCCCCACCTGCAAACGGACATCTGCATCGTATCACCAGCGTTGTTCCACAGCCTGCTCCATCTTCATCGCTTCTAAAAGCCACGTCCGCTCGGTCGCGTTCTCGATAGCTGCTCCATTCGTCCATCTATCCGTTTTTTCGTCAGCTTGCTCGGCTTCTCCCTTGCAGCAGCAGCATCTCACGGGGTCTCCCTGCGTCTCGCTGTACCGTTCGCCCTCGAAGGCCAAACTTGGGCTCGGAGGGTCGATACACGCCGGAAAAAGATCGAGCTCCCGCGGTGCCGGGAGTTTTTGCGGGGAGAACCGAAATTCGGGAGATACTGCTTTGTATCGAAGATTGAGATGCCTGCCTCGCCGCTCCTCCAAAAGCGCCGAGGGAAGAGTCGAGACTATCCGGAAGATGATTGCTGTGAGAACTGGTGCTCCCGACTTTGAAGTACCGCATCAAGTGTAGATATCCGTATCATTAGCGGGACGTAGCCTCGGTGAAATGCGAATATCCGCTAAACCTCACCCGAAAGACTCGCGTTCGTGATGCGGCTTTCGGTGAGATGAGGATGCGCGGGGAGCAGAATGCGAGTTATGAAGAAAGTATCCGGTCATCATCTTCGCGTTTCGATCCTGAACGATGAGTTCAGAAGCAGTTCCGCTCGTAAAAGGCCGCGTAACGAGAGGTAGCTCTTCGAAGGGGAGCGCCGTCGATAAATGGCTTGAGAAAGTTTTTCCGTTAGTTCCCACGGTGTCGACCCGATCGCTCCCGGCTCCTTGCAAAGGGAAGGAGTGCACTGTCGAGCTGACAGGTGTTGAGATTCCTCACGAATCGACGCTCAAGTCTGAGCTCGTTGACACTTTCCTTGACATACAGACTAGGGCCAGGGCGTTCCTCCCTAAAATTCGCGGATCATAGACTTCTGACAGCACTGATGTATGTACGTGTGGAGGAGAACGGAGGGATAGATTGCGGACCGAACTCGGAATCGACGATGCACCCGGAAGGGAGAGGGAGCGTCCGACGGCGAGCGGCTCGAAGAGTTCTATGTACGATCCTGATTAGGTTGTAATCGTTCCGACCGAACCTCTCTTCCCGAGGCTCGGGCCGTGAGGAACGAAAAGATGAGAATCGGGAGACAATGGGACAGCTTGATATCCGGGAACGATCGGAGTGTACTCGAGATTGAAGGCGGATAGTCGACGTTTGACAGCTGAACGGAATCTCTCCGGAGGGAGAAAAAAAAATCTGCGAGAAACAATGAGGGAAAAGCTGAAGCAGCGGTTGCGTTCCAATAACGGAGCTCCCAACGTTAATTGATCGTACGCGTTCGAGAGCCAATTTAATAATGGTTTAGCTGGTTCCATCGTTCGTTCGTTCGTTTGCTCTGTGCGCTGACAAACAGGCAACAAATGCAGCTAGGAAGGCCCGTGCTTTGATGAGTTTTTTTCCGACCCCGGTCGTCTTGGAAAGCCGAGCGGATTAGGAGTTATCCATTCGAAAAAACTTCCGCTTCGGCCCGGAGGCGCTCGGAGCTGCGCCAGCGCTCCGAATCCGTTTCACGGACGGATTTTGAGCTTGAAGACTGGACTGACGAATTTCTCCGTACTGATTTCTTAAGAACAAGGCTACTGGAGGATATTGACGCCTCCCGCGTATTGATCGGTCGAAATTATGATTCCGTGGCGCAGGGCTCCTTGCCTCGAGTGCGTGCCGACGACTCCGGAGAGATGATGCTATGATGATCGTTTCCGAACGATGTTTACTCGATTAGACCATCGATATCGATTCTGTCGTTCAGTCACTCAGTCAGTCTTCGTTCGATGTGCGGTTTAACAAAACTACGAGCAGGCCGCCATCGCGGCGGAGGGGAACGCTCATCGGACCGCTTCCTTCCGAGCGCTTTCGAGGCGTCGCGTCGTGTCAATGGAAATCATCGCATGGAAACTCATCGAAACGGTTTCAGGGTCCCGTCCCTGCGTGGAGAATGGAGTCGACGAATGACCAGCCGTCGAAGGGTATCTGGACAGCTTCCAAGATTCGCGCGCCGACTGAGTCTCGCTCCCCTCGATTGCTCTTCCGCGAGATGTTTTCATTCCGTTTCTGCGCACACATGCTCGGGCTCCTTTGTTGATTTGATTCGGGGAAATTCCCCAGATACAAAGCAAGAGATGCATACATGCATACCTCCGGGTCGGAGCGAGCATGGAAACTGCATTACGTCCCCGCAAACTGGACATAGGTACGAGCTACCAACTCCTTCTCGGAGTCTTCCGCTCCATCTCCCACTCAGAATCAGTGTCTCTCCTCCCAACAGATTACGCCCTGTCCTCCTCGACTCCCATATTAATCCACATAGGGGGATTCAGACTTTTCGGCTGGCGGCAAACCTGTTCAGCTCAGAGTGATCCCATTCTCCGTCCCTATGGCGCGAAGCCGTCCGCCCCCGATAAGACATCAGTCACTCGACTTGAATCGATTCATGCTCCCGGAAAAGAAGAACCTTTGCCAATCCGATGTGGATGAAGATGCGCGGAGATGTGCGATCGAGTGTAGATTACCGAGTTGAGCAGTCAATTATCGCATATGGGGCTCAGAAAGTGGAAAGGGAAATCACCAACACGTTCGACGGTGAACAATGGATGGCATGGTGGTATCCTATGGGTTCAGGAAACGACAGGTGCGGTTTGCAGCGGCGTTGGTCTTTACCTCTCGCCTTGCCCCTCTCGATTCCCCCAAACGCGCTGCTTCCCCACCTGATGCTCCCTCTTTTCTCCCACCCGATCGTTCTGCTCTCTGAGAACCGCGCTTGTCTCCTTCGTTCGTCAACTGTGGGCTTCTTCTGGTGGCGAGCATCGGAAAAGAACGGTCGAGAAGAATGAGTCAGACGAGACGTACAAGGATAATGCTGGACGGGAGAAAGAGGACGGCACTTGTTTTTGTTCTGACTGCATCCGTCCCCAACCGACCGTGCTGACTTACTGGCTGGCCGACGCTCTGACTGCATGTATGTCTGCGACTCAGACATACAATGCGGGCGAATGGCTGGCGGGATGGGTGGCGGGCTGGCTGGCTGGGCGGACAGACTGGGTCAGGGAACGAACAGATGAACGTTTCCCTTTTTGCTCCTCCTGACGAGCAGCAAATTCGAAAATGCGTCAACAGAGCATTGTATTCTATTTGTCGCTGTTGCAAGCGGCTCCGCTCGTTTGCTGCTTTTGTCTCCGTCAGAAATGTGCGGCGGTTTTTTGTGCACTCCATTTCGAATATGCTGCCATAGCTGCCGGCTCTGGATATTCATTGTTCCAGACGAGCGCGGGAAACTCTTCGTGAGAGCGGGAATGCCTCGAGCATTTTCTCGAGATTGATTTACGGTCATTCAATTTCCCTCGTGTTTCTTCTCGGCGCGGCTTCCTGCAGACGCATTCCCCTCTGCATGAGTCTCACTGCGATCTGGCTGCGAAAGATTGGAGCACTCGCGGACAAGGCAGAAATGTGCCCGGCGTGGGTTTAGGTTCCATACGGGAGCGTTGCATTCCGCGTCCCTCTGAACGTTTGCAGGCCGGGTCTCGAGTCCAAAACTGCGGAGCTAAACTCTCACTTCTTCCGTATCGGTACTACGGCAGGCCAGCCTTCCCGCTCGAGGAAGCGATACCTCACGGAACCCTGGAGCCGAGGAGTTTGTTGCGGCCGTTTGAAGAGAGATACCCCCCATAGTGGAGCCAGAGAACGGAGTACACCGATTCCTCGATGACGGGTTTGGGAACGTGGGAAAATACGATTCCCGGAATCCATGGCACCTATCGAGCACATTTTGTTAATCCGATGATTTCTCTTGCAGGACTCTCCAGTTGGCACACCAGTCACCTTGAAAGTTGATAATAAGGGATTCTATCTCTTTTGGACGGACCAAAACAATGTGAGTTTTTCTCTTGAACTTCCTCGGATCGCGATCAATCATTTGGATTCCCAAGCACGAGAAAATGATTCAGTTTCCGATTGGTGGCTTTGAAGCGGAATGTGAGCTCTCAACCGTGCGATTCGCTATCGGCGCGACTCCTCGGGGCGGTGCCGATCGACCGAGCGTCTTTTGTACGTATACCTCTTCCTCTGGACATTCGTTCTCTACAATATCTCGCTCCCAGAAATAGAACACTCGGTCGGTAAGCGAAGATGGATGAGCGAAGCGAAGAATGATGGGGGCCACCAGATGCCTCTTGAGTTCCTGGAAATCCACGCGGATGACGGGCGCCGTAACCGGACCCTACGTGGTCGAGTTTCGAACTTCATTAACTCATTACGTGATGAATTTTGATCGCGGCTCGTCAAACAAATTACGGCCCCCGAAGAGCATCGAACTCCTCCGTGAACATGCTATGGCGACAAAGTTGCGGTCCCGGTGGCTTTTGAGCGTTTTCAGAGTTGCCGAAAGCTCACAACGACTCTCACTCCCGCGAAATGCTCCACGTTCTCTCTCAGGACGCATCGGGAAGCAATCACGCCAAGGAACAGAAACGTATTGGTTTCCTGACCACCTGCTTCCCTCCGCCTGGACCGCCGCGGTATAATGATTGATCATTTGACGAACGAACTGCGATCAATCGCCGAGGCCGGACGTTGTCCGGAAGGCGCAACGTACCGTCGAAGGCGACGTGCCGTCCTGTCAAGGTGCACCGAGTCCGGTCATGAAGGTCTTTTTTCCCCGGAAACGGCTCGCTGTCTAATTTATTTGTCGCGCTATCAAGACGCGAGACCGGATGAAATCGAGCTCCGTGGCAGAGAAAGTGCAACGCTCCGGCTGTGACGAACACTCGTCCGCATCAGCGAGGGCGCGGAGTACCAACAGGCTCTTCGGATTCCTCGGTCGATTCCTTGTCAGGGTCTCGAGGACCGCTCCAAACGTGACGAGGAGTGCCGCAGGCCTTCAAGAAGATAATCGCTGAGGACCAATCCCAGATGTCTCCTCCGGAGGACAAGGAGAGGATGTCGAGCGTCAGCGGAAAGCAGCTAGTGCCGACGTTTTATCGGGAAATCCCAGGGGGAGAGCTCGATTCGCGTCTGGATTCAGACGATGCGAAATTCGATTAGATCACGCTACGGAGTTCAGGGTTTCGAGAAAGCTCCACAGAAGGATACTCGGAAATCCGCCCGACCTCTCAGCCTCACGGACATTCCTACGAATCTGTCCGATTGTACTTTTTCGTGCGGCTATACGGCGATTTTGTCGCAGACGCACGTCTACAGAGAAGCCTCTGATATTACGAGGACAGCTTGTTGGCCCGGACGAAAGAAGTTTTGGTTTACAACTTCGCTGGCCAGTCTAATTTAATATGGCGACCTTGAAGCGCCAGCTGCACTCCGAAAAAGTCCGTTAAGCTCGGTCGTTCACTCCCTCTCACTCTGCGTCTTTTGTCTATAAATAAAACGTTCCCTCCGACGTGCGCCGAATTTCGTTTATACATTAGGGTGAAAACAGCATCAGCGCTCTCAAGTGTTCCACAAGTGCCCGGGAAAAAGCATACGGCATCACCAGCAGGCTGACCGAGTTTTCCGAGTCGGCCACTGAAGAGCCGAGACATTGTCAACTTTTCCTGCGCCCCTAATGTCGCCGTCGGGCATTGGACGGGTCAACTCACGAGTTGGCGGTGCTGCTGACAGAGCATCGGTTCTACTCCGACAGCGAGTTCGGCCATAGCATTCTTGTCGTATAACACGAATGCTCCAACGAGCACTTGAGTATCACTGTGTAGCAGACCGACCGACGAATCTCCGACCCTCCATCCCTATCCGCGACTGTACGTTTGCTTGATCGTTCGGTCGGTCGATCGGTCGAAGGGACGCGGACGTTTTCACGTTTTGCTTACTCGGAGTGTTTGGCCAGCGGAAGACTTCGCGTTGTCCACGATTGATTTGCTAGACGAGACAGAAATTCCCCCAGCCCCCCAGTGGCGTAGCGTGCCTGGATGATGCCCGGGGCGGATTCCGGAAATCCCGTGCCGGGACCTCGATATAATTCCCCTCCCCCCCGGAAGATTTTTCGAAAATTTCCCGAATCTGAAAATTTGCTTTCTGGGACTTCCATCGAGCATTGTGATGCCTGAGGCGGACCGCCCTACCGCCCCCCCCGTCTTCTGCCTCGAGAACAAAACTTTTTCGGGCTGATCCACACAGCCAAGGTTTAAGGTCCCGGGTACTGTTATTCACATTGCTTCCGAGGACGGATCCATAGAGCAAATGTACCCATCCTGCCTCGAGAACAAGGGTCGATCCTGCACGACCGATGCTCGCTCATTTGTTTTGAAATGACGTGTTTGTTGACTCCACTTAGTAAGTGTGTTCCCTCCACGATGCTGTTGTCGCCCAAGACGGCGTCGATGTTCGTCCTTGCTCTGATCTATTTCTCCATCTCATTCCGCGAATTCGAGAGTCCGCAAACAGAACATACCGCGCATGGTGGCGAAGGGATGACGCGAGCTTATACGAGAGAGTCTGCTGCTTTGGAACGAGCGACTTGAGACTTTTCGAACTATTCATACCATTGCTCCGGGTCAAGCTGCTGGACTACGTCTAGATAAATTATTCGCTCCCGCCGACTCGAATCATCAGATATTCTCGCGGACGCCATCATCAACGCAATTTTGCGGACGTCAGTTTGTCCGAATGCCGGGCCGACTTCCTCAATTTTACGCAGAAAGAGTGAATCGCCCCGAAACTGAGCGGTCAGTGCCTCCGTGGAAGGCTGAAGAGCGGCGGGATCAAGAAGAGAACCATCTAAAAGCCTCGAGGCTTGCACAGAATGGTTTCGTGATTCGACTTTGAGGTATCCGGATCATTCGCTCCCCTCTCGAATACCTCGACCTTAACTTGCAGAGGAGGAAGGGTTCTCGGTCTCGCTGGACCGGAAAATCCTCTCCATAACGGATTCTTCAAGACGTTGAAGCATATTTCCATGCGGGAAGATCCCCGTGCTGATGGCTGGACGAGAAAGTATCCTCGTAGAATAATGGCTTGATAATTGATGAACTCACTAACGTAGGTGACGAATGGGGCTCGTCGGCGCTGGGCGGGAGAATCCGGCGTAATTCCTTCCGTGGGGGGCCTAATTGAAGCAACTGGAGCGAAAACAGAAGCCGCCGATGTACATTATCCCTTTCCTGGTGAATGTACATACTTCACTGGATCATGTCAGCGTGCATACGCCTGCGCGGAATACGTTAACGTATATAACCCAGCGGTATCTACCCGAGTTGTACAGCCATGCTCATTCGTTTCATCTGCGAGCGCTTCCGGGTGGAATTCCCGGAGTAAATACACGCGGCATACGCATTCCCGCGGGAGCTTAAACGCGAAAACGGGAAAAACGCGATCGGCGATGAACAAAAGCGGAAAGGGTTCTGAATTCGTACGCCGCAGTGGTCTCGGGATCGATGGCTGCATGGATGCATTGCTGAATTTTCCGCGAGGAATTGATCCGATGTCGTCGAACGAGAGATATCCCATAGAGGGAACAACAACAGGAACCGGATTACGACTCCGACGTCTTCGGATAGAACACTTCGTCGACATCGAGGGTTTCAAATCTGATTCCGCTTGAACCGCTCCCACCATCGCTACGCGATTGAAAATACCGCCTTTCCGTACATAGAGCGGTCGGCGACGTCGCGTCGTCGAGGAGAAATGCATCTCCCTGACGGCAGAACGCTCCTCTCCCGATTCTGGTGACATGGGTCAAATTTGGAAGTGGACTAGCGGATATCGGACTGCAGATATGTTTCCCACAATCGTTGGAGTCAGGGACCCAGCACAGAGATACCTACTCGGCAGAATCGAAGAGGAACCGACAGCGAGCTCTTGATGAGACATCGGAACAGGCCGTTTTTACGTCAACCTCGGGCAACACCCGAAGTCTCGGCCGCACCAATATCGTTCGAGCGAATTTCTCGACTCTCAAATGAGGGAGAGCTTTCCCTCCGCGTCAAGGAATCTATGTACCATATATATTCATTCTCGGCACGGGATAGAGGAGGCGGTCTTTGAGCTGAGACGTGCGACTGGGTTTCTGCTGGACTGCGATCCGGAGGTTCGGAACTCCGATGGGAGCCCGTTTCGAGTGCTCCAGCGCTGTGGTATGCGTCGGGATCATCTGTCGAGGCATGCCTCAGAGTATTCGTGGGTCGTCCCATCGGGAACCACTCTGCCCCACCCGGACAGTCGGCTTTCCGCGGAGCATTCGATCGATGAACAATATCTGGATGACCAGTTTTTGATGCTGATCTTCCGACGACGCCTCGATAAAGATGTATCAAGCTTTTTCTATCATTCTGGAAAATTTCTATAATATAGCCCTATCCATTAGCTCATGTGTGCAGAGCATGAGCCGTGTTCATCGGCTGCGTCAAGAGTCGAAATGAGAAATTGGTGCGTCAATCCATGGATACTTTCGGGCCGATTGATGTCCCGAGTCCGACCGGACTCCCCTGGGGCAGGGTTCAAACGATCGTCACTGGCCCACCAGCCCGAATACCAGACCCTTATCCTCCGGGAGAACTTACGCGAATTTTTCCCCGAACTCGATCCCGAATCAGGTTGTCCGCGACACGCGATGTCTGAGCGTAAATTTCATTGCATGATGACGGCGGCTGGCGTGTGTCTTTGTGTAGTCCGTGTCCAGCGTTGCTGTCCTGGTTTCCTGTACATGTCCGGCACGTCGCTCTCATTCAGGCAGGAGCACAATAACAGCCATAAAGATAGTGACCAACCGTCCGTTCGACCAACAGCGCCACGAGAATATCCCTCCTCGGAACGGACCACGCCATTTAGCGAGCGATCGCGATCCGAAGTCTGCCCGAGCGACTTTCCTCTTTTTGTTTTTTATCTTCTGACAACATATTTGACACGTCACGTGAGCGTGCGACGCGACGTAGCGAGTCCCTTACGTCGATCCTCTACACTATTGGAGAAGTGCTTTGGAAAATCATTAGGAGCGTCGAGCGTTGCCAGCGTACCAGGGTGAACAGACAAGACTTGGGGAAGCTCTTTTCTTTTATTCCTCCTCCTCTCCCCGAGCCAGCTGCTCTTGCTTGGGTCAGCAGGTGATCATCATCATCATGGTCATCAGGGTGTTTTCTGGAAGTAGGTGTAGTCGTTCGCCTCTGGAGGAGAACGAGCGAGGCTCCTCTCGCTCGTTCCCTCACAAGCTCCCCCGCCGGCTAGCTCGCATAGGGAGCGGGAAAAGGTCGGTCTCATTAAGTGAGGCAGGAGCCTTCGCAAAGCGAGAGAACCTCGCTATAATCCGACCTCGCGACACGGAGCCGGTCGATAGATAGATATATGTCTGTATGTTCCCTGGTCGGACAAAAAGCACAAAGGCCACCGCCACCACTGGCCGGAGGCGTCGACCGTATGACTCGGCACGCTTGTGAATGAAGTGCTTTGCGAACCAGGATCTGCTTCACGGTCAAGTTCCGACATCCGGTGGGGGAGACCCTGCCCCGCAGATGCGGCCGACAGGGACGTCGTTGAATCGTCCCGGGGGCATGACACATTTTTGCTTTGACAACGGATGTGACCATCACAGGAACGGCGGTCGCGCAATGGGGAAATCGACGCTCCCTGGACACGCTCCCTTAACGCATCTTGGGAATTTTTCGCTTCGAGCGGTCGGAGGGTCGCTCTCGACGGCAGAGCCCGCGGGAGACACGAATTCTTCGAGCCTTTCGCCTAATCGTCGATACGCGACGTGGTTGCGACACGATCCTCGACTAAACCGAGCCGTCCTGCGGTTTCGAGCATGCTGAGAGTCGGAAGGTCGAATAAGGCACGCAGCTGATCGTTCCCGAACTACCAGTTCCCAAGGTCGCAAATAGCCTCTCAGATTCCGGGAGTTCTGAGTTCTTGGACGGACCCTCTGCGGAAGTAAAAAACTCGGCAGCAGGAGGGAGAAAAGTTATTTGTCCTTGGAAGGAATCGGTTTTTATCGACCCGATCGGGAGCACAAATCCGAGAGAGACGGGCGAAGGAGAATATAATCCAGACAAACTCGTACAAACCTTTCACCGCGGAGTCGCCGACAGTGGAATGAACGCGAAATCAGCGCCAGGTGCGGTGTTTGTCGACGTCAGGTCTCGAGGGTTCTAGGGCCCCGCTTCAGCTGCACATCGTCTATACAGCTGTCGCTCAGGCTAGGCATCCAGGACGAAGCAGGGAAACTCTGTTCTCCTATTGCTGGAATTTCGGGCTTTGCCAGGCTGACCGGAACAACAATCTCTCAGAAGTGAAGAAGAAGTATCAGCTTTTGTGCGAGCAGCCACCCCAAGAAAATCGTACTGTAGCAGTTCGAAGAGCTTATCGAGTGGCTTTGTGGACAGGAGCCTGTCTCCGGTTCCTCCGCTCAGTTTGGAAATGACAGCAATCTCAGATTGTGCCGATGGACGCGAGCACTCGGAGTAACCCGAGACGTCGGATCGCAGCCCGAGGCGAACGTTGCGGGAGAACGGGGAAAAGACCGGCGGGAAGACGGATATGACGGGAGAAGAGCTGACTCGCGACAGAAATATTTGTCCAAGTACTGCCGGCATTGAATCGGCGTTTCGAGCCCGGAATTCGGCTCAGCACCGAACCTCCACGAAACTTTCGCTCGATCGGGTAGTTCCACGTCAATTATTATCGAGTCCATCGTCATCAGGAAATTACTGCTCAGTCGGATATGTCTCTGTTGGTCCGATGACGGAGGAACGGCGGTGGGCTGATATCCCTAGAAGCTAATCGATGGCCATTCCGATGATTAAGTGTCCGGCTACGAGCATGTTTGCCGTCAGCAAGGGGTGAGGATCTCACGTACTCCGAGAAAAAAACGGCGAAAAATGTATCTCGACGAGGGAGCTTCTCGTCGCTTCAAACTGGTTCATTTTGAACGCAGTAGTACCTACATTAGAATATATTCACTTGGAGCTCGAATCTCTAGCGAGGTAGTCGCACCGGCTCTTCCTCGAACGCCAACTCTCCCGAGGTCCCTCAACGAAATGGTCGTAGACGCGAGGAATGGAGTTTCAGCAGCGAAAACATTTTCTCTTCGTTCCGCTCCGGGGACGAAGTCCGGAACACACTGGGAGCGGTGGAAGATATTGCTTCTTGTTCCGTCCTAGTCGGATGTTGATTTGGCTCTATTCCACCGAGCTGGTCTGAGCAATCCTCATTGCGTCTCAGGGGCTCTGATTGTCTCAGGACAGGGCCGTCTTCTGTTTGGCTTTCTGATCCGAACATTGGTATGGACATCGATGACGACGCCACGCCGTCGTAGATGTCTCGCTTCCGCCGTTGTTGTCGACGTTGAAGCGAATCGAGAGAGAAAAAGGAACGACAAGATTTCCTGTTCTTCGTCCGTTTGCCCGCCCGCTCGCCCAAGGCTGGAGCCGGCGTGTGTTGAAACAGAACACAGAGGATATGCGGAGGCTCCGACCGGAGAGAGGATGGCGGGAATAAGGCTGCTCTGCCGGTGAACTCGGTGACTTCATGGGTCCGGGTAACAATATCCGCGTACATGGGCGAGAGGCCACTCCTTACGACCGTCTCATCTTTTATTTTACTGCATATCGTGTCTCCACCTCTTACCTCGTCTCTTAGACTTCGGAAAGTGCCTGGAAACTCGTGAACTCGGGATATGGAGCAGGTTTGTAGAGTAGCCGGCTACGCTGCTCATGGATGAATTCAGCGCCCTTTTCCACCCTGGAGATGAAACGTGAAGGAACAGTGAACGGATAGATCGGGTGTGCTTCCGTCGGGGACTCCGGTCTCGGTGGACTCGTTATTACTCGCTCGCCACAAAAGGGGATTACAACTCACTCAAACTGGATCTTGTTCCATTACAGGAAACTGAATACTTGGAAATCTCGAGCATTCGCGATACCCGCACGGGGAAACATGCTAAAACGCCGAAAGAAGGGAAACTTCGGGATTCCGTCAATATCGGAGCCAAGGTAAGTCGGATAAATCGATCAAATCCGAGTTTCGCATTTCCCCCGAGTTACAACAACGCACTCAGTCTACCGTCTACCTCCGAATTGGCGAGATACGGCGCAACTCGTGGGGAATGAGCGCACCGAACGGGGAAATTAAAAGTGAATCTAATTACTCCGAATGAGTTCGCCTAATCTCCTCATCCCTTCTTTTTGATCATTTCCCCTTCCCCGCTCCCTCTGAGCCGCCATGACTGCGAGCCGTACGCGGCTCATTTGTTTCTGTTTCACGGCCACTTCCCCCAAAGTTTCTATGCGTTCGGGCTCCAAGCTCCTGCTGCCGCGGCTGCTAGCCAGAGAGCGCTAATGCGCATTTTCGGTCGAGGCGCTCGTTGCCGTTCGGAGCTTCCACGTCATCGGGGCACGTTCTGAAGCGGCTCATTACGAAGTATCACTGAGCCGACTGGTCCGCAGCTGAACCAATCAGTCAAGGTCGTCGGGATCCGTTCCGATGATACCGCTCGGATTTATTCTCATACGTTTTTTCTCCTCGCTGGGATCTGGAGCATTATGGAATTCGCATCCTTGGGAGCGGACTGACTGGAGTTGATTGTGATTCCGGGGTTCTCTGCGCGACTATAAATTGATTCTGTGATTCCTCTCCAAATCGGATTTCGGTACGAAGACGGAGCAAGCAGGTGATTACCGCCTGTGTCGAGCCAGCTGTGAGGCGATTTCGAAGTAGATGGAGTGAGTTGTACGAGCAAAGCAATGCGAGAGTCGATCGAACCCGGATTCCGCTGCACACCGCACCGGTTGAGCGACAATATCCGCTCGGGAGGTGCCACTCGCACAGAACTCCCGATGCAGTTGAAGGAAATTGTTCGGCAATGCCAACACAGCTGAAGTTGATCTTGCGCGGGCGTTGATGCGGGAGGATTCGGCTGGGCAGGTGGCGTGCAGGTGAAGTCAATTGTACGGAGCAGTCGTGCGACGGCAGGGCTCTTCTGGCGTTCGTTGCCGGGTTGAGGCGCCCCTCCTGAAAAGATGTCTTCGCAGACGGGGCCCGAAAGCGTTGCGGTGTCGAAACGTCGATTCCCGTCTAGCCCGAAACGAGAAAACACCGTCTCCGGAAGCTATTTGTGTGAAAGCCATAGCGAAGAAAAGCACACCAGCGGCGGCGGCGGCGATGGCTCCTGGGGAGGCCGAGCTGAAGCCAACCGAGCGGGGCATCCAAGCCCATCAGTGGCGGCAGCCGCCGCAATAATAATCGTGAGGCTCTAGACGCAAGGTTCATGCTGTCTCGCCGAGCGCTCCAGGCTCCCTCCTCGATGCCGTGTCCTGTGCACTTTCAGGGGGTCTTTATCACTCACACGAACACGTTGGGGCCGTTACTCTCCCCCTCGGAACGAGTATCGGGCTTGATCGTGCTTTCTCGTACAGCGGTGACGTTATTTACGTCGTTTCTCGTCTACAAGGAGCTCGTTCGGTCAGGAGCGCAGCTCCGGAGCCAGTCGCGCACAGTCTGGAAACTCGGTCTGATCGGAGTCGCGATTTCTCCTCTCGAAAGCACGTAGGTGTCAACGGCTGGGATGAGCGGAGCCAACGGGGAGCGGTCCCACCTGAATGAGCGATTCGCCTATCGCGAGAGCGAATGTTGTGGTCGGTCAAAATGTTCGCATTTGTGAAAAGAAAGCTCTGCCCAGTATTTTGCTGAGGTCGGACGTCTGACGACGAAGTGAGTCCACGCACGATGTACGCCTTTCGGCGTCATGCATCCGGGTCCGATCGGGGATGCTGCGGGCATTCCGGAGCTCGCACCCTGATAAATCAAGCAACGTTCGATGAATATTCGGAACAAAAGACGTGTACTCGGCGGTGTGTCGACTCTAGCTCGCAGGGCGTGTTCAGCGCGTGTAGGCACGTCTGAGCGAATGACCGAGACAGGTGGTCCTGGACCTGTTGGAGCGATCTGGAAAAGCTTTCAACCAGACGACTTTATGGTACCTCTATATCCCCGTCAGGTTGCAGGCAGAAATGCTCTTCTTGTGTACGCTGTTGCGATTCAAGACCGATACGATGTTTTGATGACGTCGCGTAGGGACGCGAACTCGTGTACGTGTTTTTTTATTTGTTCACGCGAGGCCTTTGTTGCTCATTCTGTCGCTCTTCTATCGCTTCTCCAGACAATTTGTGGTCGAGTCGAGTTACGGCTCTCAACCTCTGCGGTTAGCGCTCCTCTCCGCGTGCAAGAGATTCCCGAGTTCCTCTCTTCTTTTGTTGCACACAATACGAACGCGGCTTTGTTAGGCCGAGGTTGGAAATTTATCCCACTGAATATTACCCCGGGTAGAATTGTCGGAAAAAGCCCAACGGGAAGATGTCGACTTGTTGCTGAGGTATCACAGATCTGAACCCGATCGAGCCGAAGCAGCGACTCAGGGGCGTCGAGTACGGGCGCGATCGGAGGGGGAAGGGTAATTCTTCGCTTGACAACATCATCAATTCCGATCTGTCTGCTTGCTTATTCCTCGGCGCTCCGCTAAATGGAATACCGCGAGTAGGGAAAGGAGTCGTCTGGGTCTCCTTGTAGCGGTTATATCAGAGTATGGTTTTTTTCGATGGTGCGGTGGTCTAATAATCATGCAGATTGGCCGCCACTGCCTCGGAGTTCTTCGAGATCCCTGCTCTAAGCTACGAATGAGATTTGAACATTTTGACACGAGACCATTGTGCGGCTCGCTGATGGATTCAGATATCGAAATGGGACTGCCCGCTCTCCTCCAGGATTGATTGTTCCAGCTCAAATGTAACTCGACACGATCATATTTTAATAAATGATTAGCTCTCAGCTGGCAGGAAATTATATTCCGCGGAGTTATCGTCGAGCGATCACCGTATCATCCGCTTTGTATCACAGTTTCAGTGGCACACCTCGATATCCACTTTTCCCGGTGACGTAAATCTCAACTCCCCGTCGTGGATTCGATACATCTGATCCTCAACCTCGGGATCGCGCGAAGAGATCTCGAGAGTCCTCGGGATCGAAAACTTTTTTTCCGAAAGCGCGAGATCCTGAGAAACCTCCAGACGGTTCTTTCGGTTGGATCCGAACTTCGGAATGCTGTTCCCCGAGGAACCTCGTACGACGATCCCTCCCACCTGGATTGAGCGAGCGAAACTATTGCCATTTTTCCTGAAAGAATGAATCGACAATATCGTGCTGCTCACACGAAAGAATCTCCACCCCATGATATCGGAGGCGCTCGTGTAGACGGAAGCTATTCCTGTGTTCCAATCCACTGTTTGTAAACTATATATAGACGCGTGGAATGCTTCAGGTCGATTTTTCCCTCCCGGCCAACGTTTCTTCGGCGCACTGCGGAAGGCTGTTCGAGAGAGATTGAAGAGGAGTCGACAGAGAGACCGGAGGAGAGGACCGCCTGAAGACTCCGATACACTTTCCGGTACGGGGAAGACGAACATTGAGTTGGAACCCGAGAGCGGAATCCTCAATGATCTCCGGAGATCAAGGGATATATCCTCCTCCTGATTTCGTCTGCGGCTTGTGATATTTTCGATTTAGCCGATCGAGTTTTTAATGCGAGAGAGCGACATCCGCCGGATAAATGTGTCCCGGGGAGCGGCACCATTGGAATTCGAGCTCTCCTCTCGAATATTTCCGGAAACCGAGGGCGAGTCGGCGACGGAATCCGTTCGGAAGCGCCGCTCCAAAGATAATTGAGGCGACCTCCGAACCATGAAAATCATAAATTCTGAGAAATTATGAACCATGGGCGCCGCGAATGAATCGAAAGAGTTTCCGGGTCTCACCGCCGGATATCATAGATTACTATCGAATAGCGCGGGCTATCTTTCTCCCAGCTCCAGGGATTCGAGAAAGAATTGGGCGGAATAACCACCGGAAAGTTTTTCGCTGCGGGGAGTAATCGTCTCCCTGAATGCTCTTTCGGATCTTGAGAATTGTCTGATGCACCGATGAACTTCGGAGAGTTCATTAATGCGAAGAAAATTCTTTTGATCCCAAACTTCTCTCTCCTTCCTTCGATTCGCCGGAAACATCGGAGTTCATTCATTGGAGTAACGGTCATTCTTTTCACGTGAGTTCGTCCGGATTCCCCTTGGGTATTGCATCGTCCGTTTAATGGGTGCACGTATCTGCAACCGAGCGAACTGACGTCGACGTGTTCACTCCGGCTCATCTAGGCGTGTAAACGTACTCAGAGGGAGTAACTCAATCTGCAAAAGTGTGTTTGTTGCGGCGTTTTCTTCTTGTTTACGTGGATCTGTCTCAGGACGTGATGGTGCGCTCATCCCAGCGTGCGATACGTCCACAAAGCGTGCAGATCGATAATCGAAATTCTGATGAGATCGCGATGGTGCGAAAAGGGAGTCGCGAAAATGTGGGCGATTCATTGCCACACCTTTGATGAGTCTGGGAGGCTTCTAGGTTCCGCAAGGGAACAACATTTTCCCATCGCTTATCTGGAGTCGGTCGCGGGTTTTACAAATTGAATAATTCGGAAGGATCATGGAACGTCTGGAGATTCTGGGGTACTCCAGAGGAGGCGCGAGCACGAATTCAGTTCGTGTCTGGAAGTATTTTTTTTTTTCCACACATTTCCCGTGTCTTCACGGGGAAATCAAAAACTCCCGGAAGAGATTTCTGGCTCAATAACGAAAAATCGCCGACGATCCTTTTCTGATGGTGAATCTGACTTGGCAAAGCCGAAAGCCGGCGATGGAACTGCCAACCAGTCATCGAGTCGATCATCAAGTGGAGGTAGGAGCAGGTGAGCAAACAAGGAACCGGGCCAAGCCTCGTCTTGGACCGTCTCGGGCTCTTTCCTTGCTTGCCTTCGTCCTTTTCCGCCAGACTCGCACGCTGGCCGCCTGCCCGCCTGTCGGACCTACAGACTGAACGACTGGCTGACCGGCGGATAGGCGGACGGGCCGCTCCCTTCCTCGAGGGCCCCGGAGACTACACGTCAGACACGTCAGACTCTTCTCTGAGTCAGCCAGTCTGTCTGTCTGTCCGCCCGGCTGACCGGCTCTCGAGCGACTGGCCGGACGGCAAGCTGCTTCGTCATTAGAGCCCGACCGTCGACGGCCTCGTCTGCCGCACCAGCTGAACCGACCAGGGAACGAAAACTGTGGGGGCTTCCGAGTTGTCTTCTCGGCGCATTCAAGTAGTCGGCGGCGGGATATTGAAAGGAGAATCCGTCCATCGGATAACTCCTGCGGTCGATCCTCCCTCAATCGATTTGCTTGTTTCTAGCGGCCTCTTCGGACTCCTTCGAGAGTTTCGAGATATCTACCTACATACATGCTCTGATTCTCGAAGACTGTGTCTCCCGTCCCTTCAACTGAGCTGTCAGAATCAGGTCATGCTTGTTATGCCGATGCCGTGCCGTCGGCGTCGTCGCCACGCTGATATGCTGCCGACTGCTCGAGTGTCTTATTATGTATTCGAGGAAAATTATCGCCTCATTGCATTCACCCGACTTGCAGTCCCGAGACACAAATTTCCGCTCCACTTGATGATTTCTCAAGGTGACTCGATAATCGCCGATTCATCACGGCCTACTTACTCGGAAGTTGTCCCTTGCCGAGGTGGGCTCTCGACGAGCTCAGCAGGGAAAGTCGGTTATCCGTGGACAATGCTCATTCAGAGCCTGAACCATTCGAAGGAGGGAATTTGTCCACTACGAGTCCTATCGATTCCTATGAGGTAATCTCTCTCGGCCTAGAAGTTCAAGTTGCTGATGTGGCTCCTCCATCAAGGTCCGAGCGCAATCGATGAAGGGCGATTCAGGCCGAAAACTGAACCATATCACGTAGATACTCGCACTGGAGTTTCAAGCCCAATAGTGCCTTCGCGAGGCTAAGGCATCTTGATTTCCATCGAGTTTTCTGCGAGAGAAGGCCATGCCAACCCGTCTTATCTAATAGTGTTTTTATGACAAACAGCAATACTGCGTATCTCTAGGGGAAAAACTCGCTATCCAGGGCGGCCCTATTTTTGGGAGAAAACATTGGAACTGATTGTTTCATCGGACCGAGCGCTCCAAGACGAATTTCCATCTTTCATGAGTTATGTTCGTTTGATCGACTTTTGACTGGAGAGACGAAAGATCGTCGTGGTGCAGGCACTTTCTAGAGCAATGAATCTCTCTCGTCGCCGTCTCCTGGATCATCAATTTTGTGTCCTACAATCACGGGAAGTGGGGTGATATTTCAATTATGATAATGACGATCCGATCGATGGCCGGATCTGATCGCCGCGGATTCGCGACGAAAGCGTGGGGAGGAAAGACCATTTCCGCAGCATATTTACGCATCGGCCCGGAATCATTCGATGACCTTGTCTCGAGTTTTTGGTCTTGGGGACGCAGCTGAACATCGCGCAATTTGCAGAAGATTCCTGAGGAGGCTTCGCCGGACGGCGAATCCGTCTCGCTCATATCCATCGATTCTATATGAATGAGTACGCGATGTTGGGACCCATGCGATATGCAGATGTGTTCCTATATGTTTTATCACGTTCTTCTGTCTCGTTCCAGGATGCAACCCTCGAGGACAAAACCGTCACGGTGGTCTACGGAGCGGACTATGTGAACGTCTCATTTATAAGTTTCTGTTGTAATTCTCGGGAGGTGAGTACGTTTTTGACAGCTCGCGATAGCGAGGAGACACACCGGGAACGGAAACAGCAGGCGTCGACCCGACCTAGCGAAGATCTCGAACAAGAATTCGAGTGAGATAGTATCGAGTTCTCGCAGACACGAAAGAAGCCGTCCTCAATAAAAATGGGATCGAATTTCTCCTGAATACAATACCCTTGAGACAGCCAGCTTCCAAATAGTACGGGAATCGGCAGCGAGTGCTGTTGACAACAACTCCCTACAGCTTTAGACTCTACCGCGGAGTATTCTGTTATGAATGAAATCGGTGGGAAAAAGGCCGAGGCGGAAATCAGCCACTCTGATAGAGTCGTGGATCGCCTAAGCCTAAACTCCTTCACACGCCCGCGGCGGGGAGCTCTCGTTGTTGCTCCCATCGATAGTATCGGCTGCGACCACGTTCCGGAGCCGTCTGTTGAAGTGTTCTTTCTTCGGTCGCATTGTCGTAATTACATATCGCCGTCGCTTTTGTCTCTTGTAGGTGGCTCAACAATGGGCCGACGAGCTGCTCGGCATGGCGACCAATCTACTATTTCTTAACGCACCGGTCATGACCTACCTCGAGAAGATGCACACAAGGATACTATTATCGACTGATAAGGAGGGGAAGATTCCTGTAAAAAGGTAAATCCCTCTCACCGTATCCGCCGTCATGTGCGAGCTGTAATGAACCGTCCGGATTGCGGGAGCACCGCCTCCTCTGAGGAACCTCATTTCAACCGTGTTCTGAGTGAGATAGGGAAAATCCTTCAATCACACGACTGCTTTCCAGTATTGTGAAAATGTTCGCCAACCACAAAGATGACCGGCGACGCGTGGAGAAATGCCTGGAAACGACGTCCATCGCCAACTCGAAAGGCGATTCGATAACTCCTGAGAAGTTAACATTCGATTCGTTCTACAACTTCTACCGGCATCTGACGCAAAGATCCGAGGTCGAACAGGTCAGTTAATTCAGGCTTCTTTTCCGCCCGGTTGATTTAGTGAAGTCACTTAGAATGGGATTCGGAAGGCAATTATCCCTTGGATTCCTAGACTGTCAAGCGCATTATGCCGTTCCCCAACTCTGCATCGGACAGCGGAGTCTCGCGGGAGACAATGCTCCCGATGATGCAGTTCGGGTATCGCCCTCAAGACCGCTCGTCCGGATGGGAGATAATGGAGTTCGGTCACTTGTTCTTCTCGTTGTACTTCCCGTCTGCGACGTCGCTCGAGCCGTCTCACTCAGTCTCGCCGCAGCATCGGAAGGTCCCCACGTGGGTAGCTCCGCTTCGTTCGAGCTTTTCCGCAATCAGAGTAATCACCGAATCTCTTCAGCGGGATACATGATTAGGATGGAACGATCCTTATCTCACTTTTCCTGCGAACCCTCATGTATCCCTCTTTTGAAGAATTCTCTCTTCGCGGTTTCTCCTCAGAAATCATCGCGAGAGAATTACTCCTGAGCATGGTCGGGTATCCATCTGATTTAGAAATCGCTCCTCCGTACCCCGCGTATCTAGGCCGGCGGAGAAGGATGGGCTCGAGCGAATGAAGCGTTCAATGAGCACCGATGCCAAGAGTATCTGCACAAAGAAGAGGCTTGTTCACGGTTGCGGTGGTCGGTCGCCTGGCTCTCTCTGTTTTTTTCCTACATGGAGCTCTGGAAATCTCCCTTTGTGCGTTGTGTATTCACGCGAAGGCCGAGTTGCCGCAGTAAAAACTCAAGCGCAGTCACTAGAGTGCCGCTTGTGTTTGCCTGAAATGAGACAACGGCCACGCAGTGGAGATAGACGGGTATGCGACGGGACGATGATGAACGACTTCTGTTTTTTACGGACGGATGACTTGAAGCTCTCCGGAGCCGACAGGTCCTCCGAGTGCCAGACTCCATCTGGAACAAACAGGGGGACTTGATGACAGAGGCACTCGAGAAGGAGACTCTGTCTTCCCAGCAGTCAGAGTCCGTTTGTCGAAGGCTATTGTTTGATTCGGTGTGATTCAGCTCCCAACTCGCAATCGATACCGATATTAGCCATCCGGATCCACCGACACCGGCTCCTGGAATACGAGAAGATCTTCAAGCCTCCTCAACTAAATCACGGAAGTCCGTATTAACGTCACAGTCTACGGGCATGCTAGAAACCCATGCCTGGACAAGGCAGGAGTCCATCTGGAAGGAGGAATTTCCCAGGCCTGTCGCACCACCAGCCCCAGTCCCTGGATAGAACATGCTCTGTATAGAAATGTAGGAACTACTCATGTAGCGTTTCGAAGAGTTGCTCACAGAGAGGTTTACCGAAGGATCTATAGCAGTTGATGGAGACTCATGCGATAGGATTCAATCGATTCCAGCAATGGAATAGCGAAGAGTTGGCCCTGGGAGGGGGAGTTCGATCTCGGTGAACGAATGATGACTCTTGTGCAAGCGTCTGAAGAGCGGCCAGCCCCCCATATCCCTTGAGGTCGCTTGGTCGCCGCAAGGTAGAGAAGAACTATTCATGTTCTCGGTCTCTATCCATCAAATGAGATCTCGCGATCTTTCACGACGCCTCTGAATCAGCTGGCGCATTCTCTATGATCTTCAATTGCTCCCGAGATCAAAGCTCAAGATCGTATCCCTACTATGCCTCGATCGTACGCTGCGATGCATCATCTGATAATAATTGATGTGGCTATTCCAGTAGAGGCCCAGAGAACTGACAAGTGCGGAGCAAAACCGAGAAGAATCTTCTCGATCGCTGAACAATAACATTGTGCATCTGCTCAGCATTGTTGACCGGCAATATGCTGATAGGAGTCGACTGAGCGAACGAGACCACGACGGCGGAATACGGAGAGTGAGACTTAGCTGTGGTGTGAGAACGGAAATCGCGAATGGACCTGATGTTTGCATTGGTCATTGGGACGTTCTCCAGCTTTCGGCCCAATGTAGCAAGAATAATGGCGGCTAGCCCGTGATAAGGGCCGCGCCTCCTTGACTACCCCCGGATTGGAAACCTGAAAATCAATCGATACCTGTGTCGGAACGAGTCGTGTTCATGCGATGAATTTATGAGCGATGGACATCATTAGGTCTGAGGCGTCCGCCTGCACGTGGACGGGGGAGGGGGGGGGAAGAATCCGCATGATATTCTCGCGTTGCCGGCTACATACGACTATAAGAATTCAAGAGCTCGCGGCGATTTGATCTCCGAGCGATCCATCGGGTACCGGGCGCCTAGAGTCACCCTGGCATGCGAGAACTCCAATCGACTCACTGCATGGCAGGACGTCGCGTCGGTCGAGCCGACAACCGAGTGGTACTCGTAGCCACAAAGGCTGATGGATGAACAAACGAAAACAGAGAGCATGACAGCGGCTCGAACAACGAGTCCCAGCTCAACGTATGAGTGTCGATTGTTAGGAAGACCTCTCATCGTCCACGGAGATGACATCTACCCTTTCCGGGAGCGATGCAAGATTTTTCTCGATGATTGTCCGGAGCCTTCCCAAGCGACGGAAACCAATTTCGAGGCTCCATCTGAAATATTCCGCGCTATCGTTCAAAATGCTTCGACACAGCAACGACCTGAGTGAGTGAGGCCCGACTCGGATGCGTTGCGAAGTTTGCGTCGCGGATGCGTTTCGTCTCGCGGAGGGACTCTCGACCCGGTCGGACTGACGCTCATCTTTCATTCTCCCGCGCTTCCCTGATGCATTCCGCGGGATGTCGGGAGCCCATCCTGCAGATAACTACCTGGCGGAGAATTCTCATGATCCGAAATGAGAAGCCTACCGTTGAGCGCACCCGTCACCAAGTCCCCGGAGCCTCCCACCATGCTGATATTGAGAGCCATAGCCGCCAGAGTCCGGACGCCAATGCATTCGTTGTGAAACTCCGCATACGCGACGCAGTCTATGATTGCCCGAGATACCCTACTCCCGTCTATGGCGAGCGAAAGGCGAGAGTACTCCTGCCGCACGTGGCGCAACATATGAAATCGTAGGGCGAGATGGAACACACCTATCGCGATTTATCTTCCGAAAGACGACTCTGACGGCCTCAGAATCTCACCGCAACGACCTCTCCGGCCTCCATCGAGTTTCCTTTCGTACCCAGACGAGGAGGTCCGATACTGAATTCGAATCGTTCCATCTATTAGAGAGATAGCTCCTTACTGAGAATGAGTGGCGAATCGCCGCCCAGACTGGTGACCGGACACCAACGGGGATGGTGCTGGCCCCAACTCAATCCGATAAGTATACCGAAATGCGCTCCATTTGACGGTAGGCAAGCTCTCAAGAAACGTGGAAACTGTCCCGCGGCCCTTGGTGGATCTATTTTTCGTACCATTCGGAGCGGCATGAGCTCAGAAGAAGCCCTCATCAGATGGGGGAGTCATCGCGAGATGTTCTTCGACGCGAGCTGTGAATTTTCGAAATGAACAACGACTCGAGATATCTTCTCTTGCACACCCGCCCGGGATATGTATAATCGATATGCTTTGATATCTCGGATCTTTCGCGGAGAAAAATGTGTCTCATTGTCATTTCGAGACTTGCTTTCTTCCCGCAGACCTTTTCTTTCCTCCTTGCCGCTGCTGGATCGAAAGATTTGACGATAGGGGACTATCTCTTGACCTCGACAAGCGTCAGCTGATCACTTTGCGGGCGTTGCCTTTCTCGTCGATTACTCTCTGAATCATCCAATAGGGCGAGAGTAGAGCTCATCAGGCATCCGTGAGGTCTTCCGAAGGATCATCCACCTAGAATTTCACTCAGTGAAAAGTGCTCACGTGCGTATTTGTTTCGACAATGCGCTCCTTCCGGGTACATGCAGTGTCGCTACCGGGGGGAGGAATAGCTCGGTAGACTTTCGAAGTTCCTAGATGCCACGCGGGTCGGGCGAGGCGGAACTCTTTCTCGTCGAAGCTGTAGCGGTGCCTCAAAAGATCGTTCTCCTGTCGAAATCCGTTGACCAGTCATGGATGGACCCTGTTGACATAATCTTGAACATCAGAGCAAAATGCATAGCTCATTTTATATTCACTCGAAAACGACTCCCGAGTCACAAGATTCATTATTCTGGATTAGTGGTTGTCAACTGGAACTCACTGGGAAGGGCTCGATGGTGCGATCGGGCATCGAATTTATTCTCATGGAGAGAGCGTGCGGTAGCCGAATCGCAATCCGAATGTATCATCAGAGAGGAGCTAGAATGCTCTCTGAGGGGATTACGGGCGGAAAGACCTTACCAACTGGCCAGGTTGACTCCCTTCGCAGCGAAGGACCTCATTCTGGTGTGCTCGTGTAATCGAACCCTAACCGAGGTCCCGGCGAGATTAAGGCTCTTGACCCCGAATCACAGACCTTTCCAGAGGTTTGTCCAAGCGAACAACGTGATAAAGTCCTCGGATCTCTCTAACTGCTTCGGCTTAGCCAGAGCTGGACACCCGGGAATCGACTCCTTCTTCGAAGTCATATCCTCTGATTTCTGGATTTGTCTCATACCGTCGATCGTCCTCCTCGGAACTCAGGTCACTCACGGGAAATGCTCCAATGTCTGACGAAATGGGTCGAGTCCTCTTCAATCTCATCTGGGCAGCTCCCCTAACTTCCGGGAGGAAAAACTTTTTGAGCTTGAAGCGAATCTTAATCACAACTTATCTACATCTTCGAAATAACTCGACCCCCATGTGTGTTCATCAGTCTCTGACCTGGACATCAATCTCCGCTCCGCGCACCGGTCATTTGAATCGTTGCTCTGACTCTGCTCGCCACTTACCGTGCCGGGTGATAATTGGCCGATGTGCTGTGCGCGCTGCTTGTGGATTCTCGTGATACTTGTCAGACTCTGCTCAAGTGCCGTCTGAAACGCCGAATCCTTTTTCTTTGTGATGCCACGCACTTCCTTGACCAGTATTGGCATCGATCCGATAGCGTCGGTCGATTCGCTCGTCTCGGAAAGCATCCGCAGCACCTCATCTGGGGTAGGCGAGGAGTTCTGACTGAGCCCCCCATGGGTTCTGCGCTCAAACGTAAAGTTTCATGATGAGCTTCCCCCTCTCGAATTGGGACGTCGATGAAGCCTCCGGCTCGTCGTACGTTTCGGGCAAAGGCCCTCGCGAGCGGAGCACCTCTGCTCTGAACTCACGAGTGAGCAATCCGTGTGGGGGAAGCCGGTCCATCAGATGGATTGCGGAACTCAAGGAATCATCCCAAGAAACTCCTGTACCATTTTCCCGAATTCTGTGCGGCACGAACAACAGGTCTCAATGTGAATCGCATCGTCGACATACGTCCGAGATGGTAGGAACCGAGGTCTCCCGTGGAAATTTCTTGAGCGCCTTCGGCTCGAGAAAGTAGAAATCCTACTTTCACCTGTCAGTCCATTTCGAAGAGGTATACGCGCTCGTCAATCCCACTCCTTACCTCGACCCGCGACGGGAAGAGCTCAATTCCGAGCTTGTCACCGCGGATCGCGCTCTCCCATTCCCTCGGCGCGACCCCTCTCCAGCGGGATATCGTACGTTCGGTCGAGTAATGCAAGACTCAGCAAGCATATCGAGTTGGAAGATATGGGAGACGACCCAACAAGAAAACAGTCCTCGTATGTAGTTGTTGCTTTGGGTCATGCCGCGGACCCTTCGGGACGACGAGACTCGACTAAGAGTCGCGTCGGGAACAAGGACAAGGGCATGACATCCCTAACAGCATGGGTTATACTTGGCAGATAATGCGGCGCTCTTGGCCTTCTCGGCCTCTGTATGTGATAGCCTCACTGAGCGGTCTTTTTTGCCCGCGACGACATTTCCGATCGAAGTCCGTTGTTCTCGAAGCGGATGTTCCGGTAACGCTGGCGATGAATACCAAGCGAGCACTCTCTCCATGAATCGACGTTGTTTCCGAAGCCTATACTGAAGCCGGACCGAAGACGCAGGGAGGCGAATCGCTCCCAGGTCCCCGTTGCCTCCCGAACTACATTCGAGAATACTCCGCTGAACTCGACTGGAAGCAGAATTCTGCTCTTGGCTCGAACGCCCAGAGCGGATATGACGGTCTTCGGCATTGCCACGGCGTTCGAGCTCCAGCCTGGGTAGTGTGCGAAGCTGGAACCTGACGAAGGGTTCCCCACATTGTACGATTATTGGTAATCTTAGGAAGTAGATCGCGAATCTAGATCGGGAATGAGAACCAAGATCGTTCATTTGTTCGTCAATATTTATGGAGATTCGCTGGCGGATTAGCTACTGCGAGTATTTCTCTCCGATACCCTCCCGGGAGTCGGGGAGTACTCGAGCATAATCCGAGCGAGCGTGTCTCATGAATTAGATGAAGAGATCCGGTCGGATTTTCTCATCGAGAGCTCTTGAAGTGGCCTCAATCCAAATATCATTAGGAGAACCGATTTCGTCCGAGAATCGCAGAATGCAAAAATGGCTATTCCAGCAGCTCGTGACTGGAATTCCCGATTCGGACCGATGTGAAATCAAGAGAGAAAGTTGACTCGTTCCGAAAACGGGGAAACCAATAAATGCGACGGACTAACGAATCGCTAGGCGATCATGATAGCATTGCGTTTCTCTCACCAGTCACCCCTTCCGTGTCCGAGAATCTGAGATAGCGTCTCGCCCCTTATGAAGATATTCTCTTCGTTTTCCCCATCTTGCCTCCCCGAGAAGGCTCATTCCTCTTTGTTGGCCAAACCTCGAGAATGATACTCTTGACGGTCGCTGGTGATCCCGCACAGGTTACGAGGGGCTCATTGGTAGACTGCGGCAAATTTCGTAGCCCCTACCCTCCGTCAAGGGTGAGGGAATACGGTTCCCCCTGGGACACCGTTTCACCGCGAGATTGCTGGAGTGGTGGCGATTTTCATCGCGACAGATTATCTCTTTTGATCCGTGAACCCGTGTTTGTCTTGGAAGCCTTTCGCAGATCCGAGAATGAAGCCTGAAGCTTTCGTTAAAAATTTGAGGAGCGTCGTCTTCAAAGGCAAATATTCTTTGACCGAGGAAATTTGATGAATATTATTAATCATCAATGAACAAACAGAAGGAGGAAAGACGTTTAAGAGCTGCCGATCGAGAAAGAAATGCGTCGTGCATCTTCCCCGGCCTCCGTTCATGAATCTGCTCCAGGAACCGGTGATGGGAAATGGGAAAGATACCTCCGTGTGAAACTGAACGAGAACACAATTGAGCTAACGAGGAGCTTCTTCATCCTGTATGATTGGGAATGCCGTTCCGCTCGAATGCAAGGGCGATTGCCACATTCGCTCCCTTTCAGGGCAACTGTGTAGTTGGACTGAATACAAGCTCGCAAACGAGATTGACGCTGTAGCTCCGACGGCGAAGAGGACCGCTTTGTTTACACAATCTGCTCCACCGAACGCACTCAGAAAGATCAGTCGAAGCGAAAGTGGAGCGGGTTTCGACAGTCATAATTATTCGTGCTAGCGGTATGAATCGATCATTATCGCTTCCATATCCGATTTTCCGCATTCGTTTCAGATATTCGAAGAGCTCTGCGGAGCGAGCAAGAAGAAAGTAATGAATACTGAACAATTGGTGAATTTTCTCAACCGAGAACAGCGTGATCCCCGCCTCAACGAAATCCTCTATCCTTACGCCAATCCTGATCGTGCACGAGACCTTATAAAGCAGTATGAACCCAACAAATCCAATGTCCAGAAAGGTGAGTGTGACAACATTCGAGCTCACTCAACTTAACAAAGGGAAGTCTTCGCAGCTTGGAGACGGAATGTTTGCTCAGTACGTCACGCGAACCATCTTTGCGAAAAGTTCGACGACGAGTAGACCTGCTTCCTCTTCCCATCATCCCTCGGGGAGAATTCTGAGCCTCGCCGTCGCAACGCGCAGCTCACTTGGTTTCGAGCTGGATCCCCTTACTTGTGAAAGCATGAGCTCAAATGAACATGATACTCTATGGCATGGTTGTGAGGGAGCAAGGAGGGAAGAAAGTGATCACCAGAAGAAAATATCGGAGCCGAACTCTAGCGACAGAAGGCCATGGTCGAGGGTTCTCCCTCTTCGGAATGTGATTGACGCGAGGTCGAGGGAGAAAGAGTTGCTCAGAAAAATCCGGGAATGGGGCACGAATAGCGGGTTGAGGGACTCTCTTTGGGCGGATTCAGATATCTCATTGCGTACGCTGAAGTCTTTCTTGGGGAACTCTCTGTTCGGCCTTGGATTGACCGCTTTCGTTGAAGTGGTAGTCGTGTTTCTTTCTGTTTTCCGTTCAAGTCCCTCGTTTCGAAGATTTTATTCTCGAACCTCGTCTGCTCGAGCTCGTCAAAAGGATTCTCTATGTCTGCAATCAATTAGGGGCTACCGTCCTTCCCTCTGGGAGTTTGCTTACTTCCTGCTGCCATAACTCAGGTCTCTGGGGAAAGAATGGCTTGCCTGACATATTATCCGAAATCGACTGACCAAGCTTGATTCCGCCACCGCTGCTGTTCATATCGGTATAGAAAGAATGAGTAGTGGACATAGGTATAGGTCGCCATGCAAGCGTGAGATCAGAAGCAGAAATTCTCAGAGGCTATGGTCGTACGGCAGTGATCCGAATGAATGGTTCGCACCTCCTCGGAGACGGAAGTTTCTCATCCGGAAAGACTTCATTGTGAAAAGATACAAGCTCCCCAAGAGCACACAGCTCGGACCCGCATCAGACGTTGGCGTCCCTCCTGTATAGCTCCCGCTTGTATCCGCATTCTGTGCCTATTTCCTTCGCTCATTTCGAAGCCTATTCGCCGGTGTTCGGTCCCATCCCCGTTAGAAGGTCTTCGCTACGTCGAGAATATATGTCAGTGTCGTTTACGCTTGCCGCATCCTCCGCGGAGCAGGGGAGCACGAGGGGTCGCGAATTCCCTCAAGGGCCATACATGCGTCCAACGGTCCTACAGGCTCTGAAGAATGTTCGGGACCATGTTCGAAATTCCCTCCACAATGAGAGAGCACCGTGGGTTGACGTCTTCCGAAGCTTCCTCGATACTTTTAAAGCCACGGGCTCCGCGCTCCGCCGGTACCTGATCAGATCCCCGGATCATAATAAAGAATGTGGCTTTTCGTATTCTTTCCAGGAGTTCTCTCCTTCGAGGGCTTTCTCAAATACCTTTTAAGCGAAGATAATGCTATAATCGCTCCTGAAAAAATCGATTTGAGTCAGGACATGGATCAGCCGCTGAACCACTACTTCATCAACTCGTCGCACAACACCTACCTGACAGGCCATCAGCTAACGGGAAAATCTTCCGTTGAAATGTACCGACAGGTGAGGATACTTCTCGCTCCAATCATCGGTGTCTGGAGGGATACCGCATAAATGTCCACAAGTATACTAGGTCAATGAGAATTGAGACCTCGAGCCTCGCCATCGACTCCGGAGGGGAGCTCCGACTTGAACTCGACACGAATCAGTCGGAGTGATGCTCGAGCGATCCTGACAGTCTGACCTTGAGATCTTATGACTCGAGGCCTCTCTAGCCACGTGTCGAGCAGACTCTCGAAGACGTCGGCAGGACGGTGTTCATAAATCTCTCCTCGGCTCGGTGAGAAAATCCGAATCAAGAGAATCTTCAAAGAGTAGATCCCTTTTGAAATTTTGTTCCCGACTGCCTTGATTGAGTGTTTGAGCGACGACCTTGCTGGCCGTCCGGCCGGGCGGCTGGCTTGCTGGCTTGCAGGGTGGCTGGCTCACCTCAGCACAATGAGAAACTAATTCCTCCGAGTGGAGAGAGACCTCTTGAGCGGAGAATGCCGTTGTAGGCGATGGGATTCGTGAATGGAAGGGATCGGGGAGTGATAGGGTATTTCTCTAAAGAAGACCGATTTGGCTATCACGGAGAGAGGGGCGCCAGCAAGGGAGACGAGAAATCCAATATCATCTGGGCAACTACACCGAAGAGATCGCAGAACCGGTGGTAAGAAAACAGAGATCGGATTGGAATCCGCTAAATCGGCGTTTCTATTTCCCCGCAGTGCTTACTATCAGGATGTCGTTGTATCGAACTAGACTGCTGGAACGGCCGGAACAGCGATGAGGAACCAATTATAACACACGGCTATACCGTAGTGACTGAGATACTTTTAAAGGAAGTGATTGAAGCTATTGCCGATTCCGCCTTCAAGACCTCACAGTACCCAGTCATTCTTTCATTCGAAAACCATTGCTCGTGAGTATTCGATCTGCTTCGCGCTCCCCCCCACCCCCAACACGCGTCCTGCTCCAGGAGGGGCGTCGTTTCTCAACGGATCTGGTTTTTCGCAAATCAGAAAAAAACTGAAATCAATGAGCTCCTCCCACAGACCAAAGCAGCAGGCGAAAATGGCGCAGTATTGCACGAAGATTTTCGGAGATATGCTGCTGAACGAACCCCTGTCTAGCCATCCTCTCAAAAGTGGAGTTCCTCTTCCCTCCCCAAACCAATTGTTACGGAAAATCATCATCAAAAACAAGAAGAAACATCACCCGAGACGTAAGTTCGACTTCTGCTGAGCTCCCGAGGTATTCGATCGCCTTCGAACTGATATTTCCCCGATCTATCGAGCTATTTTCGCGCCGCACTCCCGCCAGAAAAATCTGACGAAGAATGGCGAACACGGAGAAGGACTCAATGCATGCTTCTCCCATTCGATTTACGTGCATCAAAGGTATGAATTAAGAGAGACTTCTTCGGCAGCACACAAGCCTATCCCGACAACGAGCTCGCCGCAGGCGGCCTCGTCCTTGGGTCATAGGCCTGCGGGCAATTCGGGTGGAGACGCCGCGCCGAGCCACAGTTCGCCCACTAATCCCACTCCGACTGGTGGCGACGTAGACGTCAACGCGTCCAGTGCCGGGAATGACGACAACAGCGCCTCTTATGCAGGTATGTGAATTCGGGAAGCGGCACGAGGCGGGTCAATGCACGGACGGGAATCGCGAAAAATCTGTGATCGGAAGAGCTGTTAATCCGAAGTCTCATGAAGGCGCAGCAATACTCCGATGACAGAATGCGGAGCGATCGCGCACTCTGAGCCATGATCGTACAGAGAACGCATCAACCGGGAACGCTGTGATTTTGATGGGCTCTTGGGAGAATCGAGTTCCTCCCGGGAACGACTCCGATCCCGCGGGGTCGGGAACGACGATGACGGTAATAGATGTTTTGAGCCCGGGTTGAACGCGAGCTGAGCGAATATGGTCACCTCGATGGTGAGCTCTGCCAGTCGCTCCAGCGGCCGGCCGGTCGACCTCGAGCCTTTCTGCCAACGTAATCCAGAAGAGCAGTGCGGTGCCACGTTTCTTAGAACTCCATCCGGAGACCCTATCTCTTCGAGAGCGAGCTCCACCGAAGATTCATTCCGAGCTGGAGTTCTAATCTAAAACTTACTGGAGCCTCCGACCCTTACCTCCGGAGTAGAAGTGGTGGCCAGTCTCAAGTCTAGCGCCCTGACTGAGGTCCATCGCTACGTACAGAAAGGAATAAGGACTCCTTGACGCAACTAAGACACTATGGCTATGTGCTGAGAGGAATGCGCCTCAGCGTCGTCCGTCGTGTTATTCGCAGGGAGTTCTCATGTTCCCGAGATACGTGATTTCACAGTTTAAGAGGAATCGATTCATTTCAGAATCCGACGGGTCCGAGGGGTCCGACACAGACGAAGAAGAAAGTGCAGCGTTCGGAGCTGCAGCAGATTCTTCGAATGCAGAGGGTACGGCCGCTAACGAAAGCGAAGCCGTGGCCGAGATGTCGGCCTTAGTCAACTACTGCCAGCCCGTCAGGCAAGTTGAGATCTCTTGATGTCCTCCGCTAGAGTTCAAATCCGTGAGGAGCGGACGTGTCATAAGGGCACAATAGCGAAGCTTGGGATAATTGAGGTAGATCGCGCTGTCGAGGCGAGGAAAGGTAGTGCGACCATGGCAGAGAGGATACGGGGAGCTACCGAATACAACTTACATTAGAAGTATCTTCATGTAAACTTCATATTAAAAGCTTGGACGCGAGAGGCGGGGAAGAGGAGGCGGAAATTCTAGGTGAACGTCTGCTGGGTACGAACGCATAAGTCCGACGTATCCCCACCAGATGTGCATAAATGTTCTCCCGATGACTCGATCGGCCAATTTGTCCCACCGAGCACTCGGGGAACAGAGCTCGGTCGTCAAGATATCCGAGAGAACACGAGTTCCGCGGGGTCGATCTCGGTTTCCGCCGCTCCGTTCGAACCGAGCATATGCAGATTGGAACATGTCGGCAGAAAACGGTTAGAGCGAAGATCATGTCAACTATCGGTTTCCTTTTTCAGATTTCACTCGTTCGAGTACGCTGAGCGGAGAGACCGTTCCTATGAGATTTCGTCATTTGTGGAAACGCAAGCGACGAATCTCCTCAAGGAACACCCGGTGGAATTTGTTAACTACAACAAGAGACAACTAAGCAGGATATACCCTAGTGGCACGCGGGTCTCATCAAGCAATTACATGCCTCAGGTGAGCCATCACACACGATGAGCACGACACGGTCTTGACGGATTTTATTGAACATGACGTTGCGACGCTGAAGATCAGATAATTTGAAGGAGCAATTACGATGGCGATGACTAGCTTCGGTATGACGCATGTTCTGACGGCGGAAGCGTCGGAAGATATCTGACGTCCGAACGAGGGGGGTATTCCCCCAAAATGCGGACGACTCTTCCGACGACGTCAGCATGATCGGTCTTGGCTCGACCTCGAGATCATTGACGAGGGGCAGATGATCGGGATTCAGTGTCTCCGATGAAGATCACATCAATCGGCAGATTTCGATTACACCGATATCAGAATCGTGTCGTTCATGGAAAGACTCGTCGGAGCAGAATTCCGCCTTGCTCTCAAACGGTAATGATACATTGTCTAATTTCCCCCTTGTTCTTGCTATGAGCAAGAGACAGATTGGAAACTACCCCCGGCAACCGAAATATGTATGGTATCCCCCCGATTTTCCTTGCTGTCAGTCCGATATTCAGAATCTCGCGCTGCAGCTATCCAATCGAGCTAGGACATCAACTTGTCCCGGGTGGACCCTCCGAGCGTCCCATCAAAGATTTGGAACCGGCAATGCGGACTGCCGGGGCGCGAGAGTTCCGGCTCTTCGGTTTTGCAGCGAGAACAGCTGACTGCGGAGCCGGTTTGATCTTCTGCGGGTGGATTCAAGCCTGCGAAACAATCGAGACGACTTCGCGGTTGTCATACAGATCATGCTTCTCGTCAGACGGTGCAAGAACCAGCGCTCACTCCGCGCAGAACATCCGGCAAATCCTGGCGCTCCTTCAACATTATTCGAACAAGGTCAGCGTCCACCGGGCGAATGGACGGACCTCCAGGAGCTCAGTGGACTGGTCGTTCAAGCTAGCCGCTCGAGTCAGTGCAAGGGGGCTTCGCCGAAAGAGAGATTGCCACGAGCAAGCTGGTGTCACCTCGAACCTTATGCCTCGAAGCGTTTTCTTCGTGAGGCATGACAGCAATTTTTCTGCCTCTGTTCAGCAGCGACCCGGCTCCGAGCTTTCCACATAGCCGGCGGGGCTTTGGCGCGAAATTTATGGCTGATTCCGAGTTGGCCAGAGGTTTTCAATAGAAAGTTGGGAAGAGCCGAGCGGAAGCTTCTCTTTCCGAAGCTCGCCGCGAAAACTCGCCACCGAGCAAAGCGAGATCGATATCGAACAGCTCGGGGCGGATAATTGGTTTCGTGTCGAAAGTGTCGAATACGCTCAAAACATGTTGTCCTTGGTCGGAAGCGCCCGGATCTGGAGCTCGCACAGCGAGCTGAGGGAGTGAACGAATTAGCGAATCGATAAATAATGATTCGCTGTCAAATGGGTCACATTCCACGGTATAATTACCTAGCTCCGAAAAGCTTTGAGCCAGCGCGACGCCCGCAACTCTCCCCGGCGAACTCCGCGCTGCAGACTTTATTGAGTGAGAGCGATGTGACGAGCATCCCGAGACTTGTAGTCGCGTGTCGTGACCGAGAAGGGCGTGGAGACTCATGGATTTACTTCTGAGACTTTTCCCAAATGAACTGTCCTGCTCGGAGCATGAACATTGACTCAATCGTAATCGATGTCGATCCCGGCTCGATGCGATGCCTCGGCCCATCGTTAATGAACGATTTGCGGGGATCCCATTTGCTTTTCTCTTGCCGAGGAGAGCCTCGGTTCTCTCGTCAGTGTTGTCCCATTCCGACTCTTTCGCCTTTCCCTATCTGACCCTATTGGATTGATCGGTCGATTCCATACAGACCTGAGGGTCATTTCCCCGAATTTTTCGAGCGAATCATGCGCGTTACCTGCAACGTCTCAAAGAACGCTCAGACGCTCAATTAGGAATTTTCGCTCGACACGCGAGAAAATCTGCCTGCGAGACGAGATGCCCTTCCAGAGATTGCTCTAGACCGTACGGAGTCGCCGCTGATCCTCATTCCTCCTCCGCTCTCTCGCGCGTTTCTTCCCCGAGTGGATATCCATAATCTCTCGATGGTTTCTCGAGCGGAGAAAATAAAGGAAAGCGGCCGAATCCTGCCCCGGACTCCTCCCGAAAGCTCTGTTTCCTTTCATCAGATCACCGTCCCCCTCGCCTCGAATGTCTGACGCGCTCAGCAACTCGCCGTCAGGATTGCTAGTCGAAAAGCGTCGCCGAGGCGGAAAGTTTTTTTTTCCGCATAAGAGTCGACGTATTAAGCTCTCCCATACTCGCCTCAGAGAGGAAGTCCCAGGCATTGATCCGTCGGCGGGTGAAGGCTGAAAAGAGTTGCACCTTCGGCCCGCTTAAGGTCATCCATCGTCTGCGTCGAGGCGTCTTTCGAGACGCGACCGACATGTATGGAGTGAATGCTCGAACATCACAATCTTCACTTCGTCTGGCGTCGTGCCGTCGAGCGAGACATCGATTGATGATACCGTAAGAATAACACGTTTGTCTGAGCGGAAAGAAACAACGGCCCACGGGAGCAGCCAGGACAACGATCCCGGAAAGAAGAAGAAGTGCAATAGAAAAAAGATCGATGTGGTTTTCAACAACTGCACGCTCACCGAAAGTAACTCCCAGACCCGGACAGACCCCTCCTTCGGAATGGACTCGGACCTCGAGATGGAGTTTTTTTCCACTGTGGGAATTCCCTTTCATCTTTCCGAAAAAGAGGGGGAGTCGATCTCATATTCATGCGATCAATTTCATGCCGGTCGACCCGCGCCGAGCGCCGGAATAGCAGACGGACACGACGCGACTACGAAAATCGCTGAATGACTCGGCCGCAAAATTTGTCGTTGGGGCAAGTTTTCCGGATCGTTTCCGACCGAATTCAGAAGCAGACAGCGGTCCTGGTTGGGCGGCTTCAAGAGCGAAAGCCGCGAACAAGTCGATGACGACCGAACGATGATGACGTTGTCAATGTTGAGGTGATGTTTCCGCAGACGGCTTATGAGGCATCGCCTTTTCGATACGGTCCGCTCTCATGGCGGTCCCTCCCACCTCCATGCAGCAAATGAATGAGTGCCGCTCCACAGCTCTCGCGAGTCGATACACACAGAACATGCACAAGTACTCAGGAAGTGTACATGCGTGCAAAAGAACGAAGGCAACGAGAATAGGTTTAATAGCCTGAAAGGCCGTTGTGGAGCGCATGGAGTGGAATCAAACGTGCGGACGACTACCGTCGCCGTCACAATGGATGACCGTGGAGTCGCTTCAGTACGTTCTCCAGAGTCTCGTGGAGTCGTCGCAGTTTATGTTCTTCTCCCGGATCGAGCCCAAGAATCGAGCACTCGGTCAAGTTCTCGAGAAGATTCGCCTCCTTTGATTTTTCCGCATTTCCTATTCGCCATCGATAACGGTGAAATTTCGATTTCAGGTTTTCTGGAATGCGGGGTGCCAGTTGGTCGCCCTGAACTTTCAGACAATGGATCTTGGAATGCAGCTCAACTTGGGCATTTTCGAAATGAATGCGAGATGTGGATACCTGCAGAAACCAGATTTTATGCGACGACACGACCGCCGATTCGATCCCTTCGCAGAGTCCACCGTTGATGGCATCATTGCAGGCACCGTTTCCATTAGGGTCATATCCGGTGAGTCATTCATATAATCACACTCGTGCTCGTTCGTAAAAAAGTGGCCGCCGACGGCACGCCTTCGCCCACGTCGGCGCCGAATCTTGATCGGTGACAAATAACCACCACGAGGAACTCGGGGCGAGGGCGGGGTTGTTCCTCTCCCTTGCTTGAAGAACTCCTCCCGGCTAGTGGTCCGCTTTGCTTTTAGCGAAGTTCGTAAGAGCAGGCGGTATGGGAATACATCGCGAATCGGGCTCCTGAGAACATCGTCGATGAGCGTTCTGGCCTGGTGACACGGGGCATCCTCAAACGGTGTGGGGTGAAGTGCATGTACATAGATAAATTTCTTCTCCGCGTGAACTTCTGCAATCTCATGCCGAGACAAGTTCTCATCTCACGGGCTGGATTCACGGTCGAAAAATGAGGATCATCCATCTCGGAAAGCTCATCACCCGAGTCAAGTCGCAGTTGGTCGAGATTCGCCAACGATTTGACAGCTGTCTACTTGTACCGTGGTCACGTGACCGCTTCCAACGGCCTTGATTCTATTGCTGACTTGGCACTCGCATGACCTTGTCATCGAGAGCGTTTTCACTTAGAGAACCTACTGCCGCCGTAGAGGTCGTCGCAGTCATTGCCTTCGTGGAACTGGTGCTGCTGTCGGTCGGCGCCGCCGCCGCCGCCGCTGTTGATGCACGCAATTCCGAGCGGCTTATTGACTTTCCTTATTAGACAGCAGCGACGACGACGGTCTCCTCAGAGCGGCGTGTGGGTGATTGGAGGCGAGTCAGTGTTTTCGCCGAGCCGGAGTCGAGAACGCGCGGGCGTTCTCCAACTGCACCGGTTAATTAGAAGCACTGGGATGAACGGATGAATGAGCTCCATTGAGGAACTTCGGGAACTCGATTGTTGCGCGACTGTTGAGAATTTCTTCCGAATCTATTCAAATCTCAGCTACGATGTCGCCTTCGTCCCTCCGGGGCGCTTGTGTCCACATTTTGATATCCGATAGGAGCTGCCTCCAAAAAATTCCTTACCGTGCAACCTCTGCAAACGATAAATAAGACGTCGCCGCGTTGGCAACTTCCGCCAATAGCACGGAAGAAGAGGATGCCGCGGACCGAGAAATCTTCCGCCCGGAGGAAAGAGAAGGCTGGGGGGAAGACAGCCGATGGGAAAACGCTGGCTCGGCCTCTTCCTTGATCGTTTCGGTTGGGAATTGTGAGAGTTTTCCGCTCTCCGTTCGCTCGCTCGGAGCGGGCCCCTCCAGAAGAATTCTAATTATTTCTTCGTTTCCTTGACGCCTTCCCAGGTTCCTATTATTTGATTTCATTCCGCTCCGTCCGATGGTTCCTCGTGTAGTAGTCGTCGGCCGCTGCGTGTTCTCGTCGAGGCGTGCACAGCAGCACAGTCTTCAAACCGTTCCACGTTTGAGGGAGCGAGAAGTCATTGCTGCTTACTTCGGAAAGCGCCGACTTTCCGTCTTGGGGAAAACTCTGCTCGTGCTCGGAGCGAGTTGACGGGAATGATTTTCGTCTCGGAATCCCGAATGACTGCCTCCGGCCATGTCCTTGTATTTCTCTCATTACAGTACGCTATATATGACCGGGTATATCTCCGTGCCGTACATGCAGATCGATTGCTCGACTAGAACCTTTCTAGGAAGCTGCCGATTTCACGTACATTTACTCGAGGTTTAATAATTTATCGACATTTATTTGCGGTTCGGTTTTAATTTTTGAATTTGTTTTTTGCTTTGGTCTTGGCTCGAGCTCGGGACTCATCGGCAGCACTGACTGAGCCTCGCAAGGTTCGGGGCCAGTTGCCTCGAGTGATCCCATCTGATCTTTCGGCTCTGATCCACAGGACACCTTCTGACGGAGAGGAAAGCCGGAACGTATGTCGAAGTCGACATGTATGGACTGCCAGCCGACACTGTACGGAGGCGATTTCGTACACGAACTGTAACACCAAACGGACTAAATCCGATTTTCAACGAGGACGCCTTCGTCTTCAAAAAGGTAAGTCGACCTCTTATCCGAGTCGAGTATAAGTTCATTGCCGGATCCGCGTGAGCTCCGTCGGTCAGTGCGGGTGAGGCGAATCGAGCCCACCAGACGAAAACGTCACAGATCCTACATCGGGCTCAGCATAGGGCTTTGACCAGAGTCGGAAACTGGACGGATTCGCGCTATTCACGACGATCGCATATGGCTGAAGCTATCTGTCGGGGCAAGAAACGCGCAAATTCATGCTCTGAAAATGTGAATCGGGGAAGTTGTGAAATCTTAGCATTTCTCCTAATTCGCCTGAAAGCGGGAGCTCCACTTCAATACCCATCGGTCAACTTTGCCTGCCTCAAGGAGGCCAACCTTGAGTCCCAGCCACTGGTCGGTGGAACGCTATAGATTTAATTGGTTTTTTATGTAGGTCGCCTTCCTTTTGCCCAGGTCTTGTTCGGACCGCTCTCGATTCCCCTGTTCAAAGCTCAGACCCTCGCCGTACCCTTTCCCATCGCCTTCGATGCCCTTGCTTGACTAGTCGTCGAGTTTTTCCGGCGTTTGCGAGGCTAGCCACGAGAGCAGATTACGTCGCTGATCTCAACAAGTTTCGTTCTCTGAAAGAGGGAGATTGAGAGCAGCTCCAGATCTTCTTTCCCAACGACCAGCTAGCTGCGAACCGAATCTTCGGATGAGAGGGCGTGAGCGATAAGTCCAATTCACAGAGAAGAGGAACGCTCTAGTATGTGTTCCAACAGACAAGCGACGCGACGCCGCGCCGATAGCATGTATTACATATCTGAAAAGGAGATATCACATCACATCATATCTATCTCGTGCTCGTCCTGCTCAATCAGCTCGGCTGCAAGAAATAGTCCGGACAAGGCGAACAGAGGAATTGAAAGGCAAAATGTCGCGAACGGATGTAGTAGCCCTGCTGATGAATCTGTGCCTTATGATAGATTGAGTCTTTCTCTTCTGCTCGATGCCCTGCTTCTTGGAGCGTACTATTGCATACGAAGTCACGACCGACTTGGTCGAGGAGGCGGTTTTGTTCCATCACGGCCCGATAGCTTCTCGAAAGTGGAAACCCAGGCACCGAGAGTCTCCCCAAGGCAGCAGCGAAGCCTGAGAACGCTTGCGTACAAAACGAAAAAAGACCAATTCAGTCGATTCCGAATTCCGCAGTCGCTGGAAAAGTCCCACGGAGGCTGGGCTTCAGACTCGCGCGCTAGCCTATCATCGGGTGCTGATAATAAGGATGCAGGTAGGTAGCTCGGTCCTCCGGTCTCGTCACGGATCGGGCGTTCGAGCGTGCCGCCCCCGGCACGTTTTCGCTATCCCCAGACAATAGTCGCTTCGAACGATGGCCGGTTGTGGTCGACTGCGTGAGTGGGCGCTCGGAAACCGCTGGCGATCGATTTGGCTGAGTTCACGATCAGTCGCAATCTACTTTCGACGACTCTGGATCATAGGGACATGTCGCTGATCTGTTCCGACTGTTCAGCGCGCACCGGGATCCTATTAAAACCAATACTGTCGAGTAGCTCGCTATCCCAATACGACTCTGGCATCGGTTCGACCGCGTCTTCTGTGGCTCCGTCCCAAGGGTTCGATCGAGCAGGTGCAGCTGCGTCAGCTACACTCCGATAGGCCAGCGGACGCAGCGGCAGAACTCTACGGAAGGTTGTTGGATGGGATTTTCGGGCCGTTCCTAGCAGAATGGATATGAGGGACGACTGCTGGAAAGATCGTGGATGATGTACTTAGTGCGGGAAATTACTTACCACTCAGGGAATTCAAGTTATTCCCGGAAGCTGGTCCGGGGCTCTCATGCGAGGTTTGCGTATGGGATCGCGAGCCAGTTCGGTGGCCCAGAGCCATGTACTCGTTCGCTGGATCCTTCCCTCCGCTGTCAGAGTGAGGGCGTTCCCCTGGTCGGTCTTGACCCAACTGACAATGGCGACACCGGCACCAAAACCACTCGTTGTCGTTGGGGACGTCCTCCCGCGAGAAGCGGTCGCCGGAGAGTTTATAAATGACATCGACAACAATATAAACAGGAAAGTCCGCCATGCCGTTCCAAAGCTCAAGGCAGTACGGTGCGATCGAGCGAAGTATCGCGGGCTTGCGGATCGCGCGTCATAGTACGCTTTGTCGCTGGCGTGCCTAGGGGAAATAAGTTCTTGGGCTGACATTCTCTTTCCGGTTACACAGCATCATGCTTGATGATACATACGTGCGTATCCACTCTCCGAAGCCTCAGTCGAGTGACGTGGGCAAGATTGATGTCACGCTGCTGTCGTTGCTGAAGATGATGTCACAACGCTGCAATGATTACTTTGATGCCGTTGTCGACGGCGATGACGGCGGATACTGTACGTTCTCTTTCTGTCATCCGCAGGTTGTGCTACCCGATCTCGCCGTTATTCGGGTGCAGGTTTGCGAGGAAAACGGCCGCTTTCTCGGCCATAGGATACTGCCCGTCGTTGGGTTACGCCCGGGCTACCGGTTCATCTCCCTGCGGAACGAGGCGGGACAGCCGTTGACGATGCCTGCTCTATTCGTCCGCATCACCGTAGGAGGTAAGCAGCTTCGATTCCGCTCTCGCTGTCGCCGAGGAACAGAAATCTCGTGGAAAATTCGCGTCGACTCAGCTTCCTGGTATCCGGGGAAAAATTAGTCTCATGAGAGAGATTCCCGAAAGCTACACAGTATATCCAAGACATGAGCCATGTATGTGCTTAGTTTCCGTGAGGATCTCCTGCCGCCAGAAATTGGAGCAGCTGTTCTTCCGCTGTGGTCGCTCGTGGTATGTGGGGTCTGATATGCGAGTTGGAGGGGCCCGCTGCCGCGCCGCCGGCCCTGTGCGTGTGGGTGGATGGTTGGCTAGCTGGCTGGCTGTCAGTTCCAGGGTGCTTTCAGACTGTGGGAGAGTGTGTGATTCTGTTGGAAAGCGCTTGCTTGCCTCCGTCTGATGCGCACACGATGGCGAGCGTGACAATAAGCGCCGCGACAACGGCAACAATAACAACAACATCAACAACAACACCAACAACAAGTATATGTACTGCGCTTGTCAGAGCGTCTAAGACACAAAAACGTCGGCTGCGGCAGCGAGAAAGACTCCAACAACACGCAGCTGGAAACGAGGCTCGAAGCCACGTGGAGAACTCCGCCTCGCATGGAATTGTCGTTGACGACGACGGTGCCTTGCCTTTTCAGATTACGTTCCCGACGGTCTTTCGGAACTCGCCGATGCCCTGGCTAACCCCATTCGCTACCAGTCGCGCATTGAGAAGCATGCTACACAGCTGCTGGCTTTGACGGGCGACGACGAGGAAGACGAAATCGACGTGCAGGCTACCTCCTCCAAAAGCCACGAATCGAATGTGGTGAGTATTCGCCGCAGTCCCCAGTCGCTCAGCTCACATCCCAGAGTGCATTCGCGAGGATCTGATCCGTTGATTGAGAACGGATCGCGACTCGTACCATGGTGCTCGGAGTGTGCCTGTTTCCTGTTTTCACTCGAATTCTTGATGAGATTCGCGGATGAGGATGATCCCCCGGTCATCAATCATTGGGCAAATCCCTTTCACTCGTCCCGCGCTCCGCTTCCAAGGGTACCCCTGAATAGCGAGCTTCAGGATCGATAGTGAATCAAGCACCCGCTGCACGACCCATGTGAGGCTTCGTTTCTGCTCAATATCACAGAGAGCCCTTGGATTCCGGAGGCCTCAATCATACCGCGAGCAACTTGCGGAAAAAGTCTGAAATAGAGCTTGAAGACCCGGTCGATGCTCCAACTTCGTGGTTCACGCCAGTACCTATTTTGATCACATGCTTCGATGCGACAGAAACTCCTGATTCTTCTTCCGTCAGCTTCCCACGTGAATTATTGACTTAGGCTCGACACCATTCGGAGACCTGTTCGGCAAAAAGTCGTCTCTCTCTTGGCAAGAACTCTTCTCTCATCTTCCGGGGTTCGGAGAACGGTCGGCGAACGGAGTCGTTTCTTCTTCTCCTTCCCAGCTAAGCTCCGTCAATTTCGCGATTTTCCAGGAGGTGAGCGGGAGTCAGAGCGGACTCTGTTCTGCAACGAGCGTAGATCAGCATTCCAGTGGTCAAAACGTAGGAACTAATCCCGCAGGATCCGTGCGCGAGCTTCCTTCGGCAGTAGCCAGTTTAGTTAATGAAGCGAATGGCACTTGCCAATCTCCAACAAGACAGACATCTCCCCAGGTGAGTGAACACGACCGGCGGTGAAATATCCGCTCTGTAACAAGCGCTGCTCTCGAATGCGGGAGAATAGCAAACAGACCGGCTGGAGGGAACTAACTCGAATGATTCCCCCGGCTCCCTATTAAGATTTTGTTGCGACAAGACACAATGAGCGGCCAGCCTGCGAGCCTCCTGAGCGACATGGCGACATCCTCCAGTCAGGATTCAGGAGGCACCCCAGCTCCATCCCTATTACTGGAAACCAGCCAGGTGAGATTCTGACTAACAGAGCTCCGAGACCCCCATCATTTTGGTCGAGCTGTGGAATTCTCACGGGAAGGGCCAATGCGGCGACCTCCCTCTTCAATCTTGCCTTCCTCTCCAGGTCACCGCGCAAGGTTTAGACAAGATTCGCGAAACTAAAACCGTGGTGAAAGTTCTCGCGAAACTCGACAAGGATCTGCAATCTGTGCGGAAGAAATATGAGAAGAAGCTGAAAGATCGCGAAAGGGATTCCGAGCTTCCTCGAGACGACAAGCTCATCCCCCACAACACCAGCTCGGTGGCCGGGTCGGTTGCGTCTGTCGCTGGTCGCATGAAGATCGTAGCCAAGACGACGGCCCGACTGGGCAAGAAGATGTCTTGTGGCGATGTGTGAGTATCAAAGCGCCGACTCGACGGAAGATGATTGTCGGCGCGCTTTTAAATATCTCGATTCAAGTCGCTCGGAATTTTACAGTTTCAATCAAAGACCCGACAGTGGTCCTTCGGAAGAGCAGAAAGCCAAAATGGAACGACTGCAAAAGACCCACGCCGAGAACGTGGCAGCCATTCTACGTGAACAATACAAGACCGAATTGCAGATTCAACAGAAGCATTCTGAAGCGGTGAGTTTCGCTAGAGAATGGAGCCCTTTCACGATCTCTTGTGCCTCCCATGTTTGGACGAGCAGTGAAATTCAACTCGATCCACCTGCACCCCATCACGTTCCTGGTAGCGGGTCCCCGGCGGGCTCGAATTGCCAACGGCAACCTCACTTGTGGCGGCGATACGGCAGAATGTCGGATCCTTTGGATAATCCCAAATCCTGAGGGAGCGAGGCGTTTAAATCCGACCTGAGTTCTGGTTGAAAACCATAAGAGAAGCGATTCCTTTAATTCACTGGTAGCTCCGCGAATCTGCGGCTCTCGAACGCAACTTTCGAATTCGAGGGAGCCGGACCATCAGAACAGCTAATGATCTTATGCAAATGAAACGCTACGAGATGGAGCAGGATAAGCAGAGAGACAGCTTTGAGCGGCGAACCGTAAAAGACGTTCTTCAAGCTTCTCGTTGACGGAACTCACTTCGTCGTATGCACTTACGCTGCGGCATTCGCGGCCGGGCCAGTCCCTTGGACGCAAGTTCCGTCGGCGGTTTCAACGAATGAGAGCCGGGAGGATTCTTAGATGGAACACATTCTCACGTACGGTTGGAGCAATCTTCCTAATGATGATTTCCGCTCTCAAACAGAACCATTTTCTTTTCCAACAGGTGTTTGGCGCTATGGAGAAAGCGATGCTAGCGTCGCAGGCTCAACAGCTGCAGCAGCTCCAAGAGCTCCACGACAAGTGAGTGCTTCGAAATTCACCAGGCAGGGCTCTCCGTCAATATATCCTGAGTAGTTTGTGACAGTTTGCTTCACGAGACGCAATACGATGCCGGCTCATCTCGGAGGCGTGGGATCCCAGCTGCGACGAGCTATGTGCGGATCTTTTGAATACTCCCTGAATAGATATTTTGTGCCGAGGGCGTTGATCCCGTAAATATTAGCTGTCGCGGAGGAGCGACCGAACTGCGAAAGAACTTGCTCGTGGAAATCGCTCGATTAACGAAAACCTGCGTATATCCAAGTCAAAGTTCGATCAACAAATGGCCATTGGCTCGACGCTTCCCAGCTTTAGGTTCAAAGGAATTAAGATTCGTCCTCCGGTGTGGAGTGCGTCCCTTCGTCATGGTCATGGATGAACATCCTCTGATTACCGCTTTGTCGGCAAGAGTATCTAGCGGAGCCCTCCACGTCGACACGGCTGAAACTGTGCGGCAAGCTGCGGTCAATCCCGTTTCGGGATCCGAAGCTCGGAGCAACCGTTTTGCGATGGCGAGGGGGTAACATCCAAACCGTGTTCGGCTGGCTCGCCCGCCCGCCCGCCTCTCGCTCGATCGGATGCCGATTTCCTATTTAAAGCAATCGTAATCAGGGAGCAATGATGAGTTGTGCGCGTGTTATAACAAGAGGAATTCTCCCTCGGGCGAAGTTTGCTCCTTTGAGCCGCCCGAGCGCCGTGGCGAGCGTCCAAACAAAACGACCAGATGCAAACTCCGCCTAGGGCGACTCCGTATAATTCCGGCGTTCCGACATGCAAGAGACATCGGTAACGCCCTACGTCCGACCGCAAGCTGTTGCCGTTCGGACTTGATTTCAATCAAGCTAGGAACACAGCCAGCGTCGGTTCGGTCGAATACAGCGTTCCGGTGACACGTGCTCTCTCGCATTGCGATGTGGGCTCCCAATACTCCTTCGATAAAATTCAAAATTCATCGCACGGGAATTCCCACGTCGGAATTCTTCATTTCAGGGAAGCTGCAAATCTCATGAAACGGCTCGAATCCTCAAGCAAGGAAGAGATGAAACTGCTCATCAAGAAACACAAGGACAAGAATGAACTCGACCGAATAAAACGTGAACTTCAGAATAAAATGATCGGAGAAGCAGTCGCTGAACGCCAAAAGGTATCGTACCCGCATGAGTTTATGAAACGAGTTCCGCTTCTGCACATTCGGTTCGCGTAATGGACCCCGGCAATGTCGACGCTTTGGCTCTTATTTTTGTTGGAATTCCTGTGAAGGATTCGCTCTCGGTTTCGAACTCGGACGGTCGTGAGCTGGGTCGAGCTGAGGGAAACTGCTTTCCTCGAGAAGAAAGTGCCGGCTCTGGCGCATGGGAAGTTCTCGCTAGAAAAATGTTAGACCTGGAACGAGCGTTCCCCGTTCCGTGTAAGATCATCACAGTATGTGAAGCGAGAGGGCGGGCGTAAGGCGCTGTGGCGGTAGGTAATGCGAGAGCGGTCTCGGCAGCAGTTTTTCCCTCACTGAAATTGATGATTCCACCTGCAGATGGGTTGCGTTTTGGAGAAGAAGCGGAAAGAGCTCGAGAAGCAGCACGAGGATGTCCGGCGTCGCTTCGAAGAGGAGAAATCCGATGCCGCGATCCAACATCAGAAACAGTACAATGACAAATGCGCAGCCATCGACTCGAAGTTGGCTAAAAACCCCGCCCTGCTCCTGGAAATCTCGGCCTCTCTACATCGGCACAGTCAGTCGGACAGGAAACAGAGCACCCATCTCTGAAGAGGATCTCACCGCTCTACGAGCGTCATCAAACCCTTCCCGAACAGCAGCGTACAATGCCGGTGGTAGCGGCGGCAGCGACAACATCAAAGAGAAAAACACCGTCGACAACAAACACAACGTCGGCTACGCCGCCATCGGTTCCAGAACCGACACACCTGTAGCCGTCCAGATGGACTGCAAAACCCTCGCACAATCACTTCGCACACACAAGTTCGCGGTGTGTTCTCGTCGTTCTTCATCTCGTTTTTTTTCTACGTACGTACATCTACGCAAATGGTCCGTCATTACGGCTGATGAGACAACACCTGCACACAGGGTTCATCAGTAATCACCGACCCCGACGGTGGATCGGAGGGCCCTCCCGCTGCTGGGGAGTCATGGAGCCGCGACTGAGAAAGGCTTCCGAGGATTGTTCATCTTGCATCTTTGCTGCTCTTCCGAAAGTAGTCGACCACAAATGTCTGCTAGACTGGACTCTAGTGCAGCTTAGCAAGAGCTGAGCCAAGGGCGACTGGGACGCTTCGGGAGTGACAAGTTCGACGACGACGGACGGGACTGTCATAAGGAAACGTTCCAGTATAGTATGTTGTTGACAGCATTGAAGATTAGGGAATCGTTCGCCAGGAGAAGGAATACGACGTTGTTGAATAGTTAGGGAAACAAAGAGCAGCATTCCATACGGACGAAGAACCGAAAGCGCGGTACAGCAGGGATGATGCTGGTGATGTCTGAGCCAATGGACTCATTTGAGTCCAACTGAAGCGCAAACCGTTTATTCCTCTGGTATTTTCATTCGTGCGGACCTGTATCATTCCCTTCCCCGCACCCTTCCCATCAGTTGAGGAAAATCAAGAGCGGCGTCGAAATCCTGTAAATTGCGAATCTCTCATGCCGCGAGCGTTCTCTATTGCGTGACTGGACGTTTCGAAACTTACTGTGCTCAACTTGATTTGCGTTTGCGCTCCTCTTTCGCGACGAGTTCGGTGAGGAGAGCCGCTGTCTTGATCGTATTCCCTGCTGCACTGTTTGTTTTTCTCCCTACCGTCCTCTTTGACATGATTTTGTTGGCCAATTCTCCTCCTTGCTCTCATTCAACCAAAGCCCCTCTCCCCCCCCCCTCCCGCTGCCGCCGTCTTGCCAGGTCTGTGATGTCTCTCCGTATATGCAGAGAGAGGAAAAAGGGCAAAGAGCTCCTCACAAGGTTCTGAAATGAGCCAGCCAGCTCTCCAACCAGCTAACGATTCCCAGAAGTCTGCGGGACGGTCTCCGCTCTGCTAATGGAAGAAAAACGTTCGGATTCGTTTCCTCAGAGCCATCCCGTTTCCTCGCGAATCGCCCAAAAGTCTCTTTTCCCCAGACGCTGCTTCGCTCTCAGGTTTTGTGGCCGCTCTGGGGAGAAGAGACGAGGAACACCCTCGGAATCTTGTTTCCGAACATCGTTGAAACAGAATCCACTCCGCTGATGTACTGCCTCCGCTACTGGCGCAGCTGCTTCTGCCAGCGTAATATTTTAAATGACGAGCGCTCGTGCAGCTGACGTTCGTTCCGTCGGAGTCGAAAAGTGTCTCGGCCATGCAAACCCCTAATTTCAACCGGAGAAATTCTGAGAGCGGTTGAGTTTAAACGCACAAATCCAGTCGAGACCGGGGTCGGAGAAACGGACGATAAGAGCCTGGGCCGAAGAGGAAGTCGGCTTCTATGACGTGAAAGTCTAGAAAAATACAACATTTACAAACCTGCAGCTGACGGCGTCGGCGGCAGCTGGCTCACACTCCTGGCTTTGCTCGGAGCTGACGGGTTGGGCGAACTTGACGGCCGACACGCGCCGAGAAAGCCTCCCGCGTATTCAGCGGCCGCTCTTCTGACGCTAAGAGCCTTGTTATCACCGTCGTCGTGGTCATCACCATCATCATCACTGCGGTGACCGTTGCATCACGTAGGTTCCACTAGGCTAGGATATTCGGTTTTGAGTGAAAATAGGGGAAACGACAATGAATATTCAAGCATTCCCACAATAAGAACATTTGTGAGGTATCCAGCCTCTAAGCTCGCTAAGCGTCTCATCTAGTGATTTTGCAGAATCACATCATGATGATCGTAGTGGGCATAATACGATGGAGAGCTAGATCATTATCTTGCCCACATACGGCGGTGTTCATGATAGAATAGAATGTTCTATTACTTGTATGAAACAATAAAACAAACCCTCAACAAGACAGTACAACCCAAGCATGGCAAGAAAGGAGCAGTTCCGATTTGATCCCACGCAACAACTTGTTCCCAAGGCGAGCCCGAGATTCAGGGGTCCGGGAACAGCGTTGATAGCGAACTCTAAATCCTTCTGATTTCACTCGTCGTGGACTGTAGACGGAAATGCAATTCTAGCACATAACATGCAGTATGGATCGGAGACAAGGGTGGAAACAAACTCCTAGGGTCTGTTAGGTAGGTCCCCATGACTCGTGGAACGTCTGCTAGGGAAACGAATACGATGGTTCTGGCTACCTTCCCGGATACCTCCGGGAAAGAGATTCGAATCGAGTCCCGTTAGCTCGAGCAAAAGGGGAGAGATCGACGTCCGATGAATCCACCGGTGAATCAGAGGCCGTAAGATGGGATCCGAGCCTGGCCGCATTGTTAAAATTCGAAGCCAGTGGCCTCCCACTCCGGTCCGTCAATCCACGATGAATAATCTCGACACCAGACACTCGTTCCGAGGATCACAACTATGACGTCGATTCCAGGGAGGGCGATTGGAATAAGACCAGTTGGAGAAAGGCTACGGGGTAGGCGAGACAATTTCTATGATTTGAATATTTTTTGGTGATATCTTGAGAAGAGAGAAATCGAAACGAACTCCCGGAGGCGATGGACCTAGCGGACGTTGATGGAAGACACCGCACTGTCTAATGTTCATTCCATGTTAAGAACCGATCCAAGTTCAACTTTATCATTCATCGACCGGTGATTTTTTAATTACGTAAAACAACAAAATGACACAAATACACCCATCGTTGAAGTAGGCCAATGGTGGTTCGAGCCACAACCATACCATGATGCTGAAGAATGCAGGTCGTGCCTCCGAAACTCATGTTTCACATCGGAAAACTGTCGAAGACAACGGATGACCGATAGCCTCTGCGTTCCACAAGGCCTCGGGTTCTCGCAGAGGGATGGATATCATGAGAAAATATTAGCTCTTGATTACACAATCCTACGTTTCACGACGACGACATTGATGATGATGATGCAATGCACCCGAACGAAAACTCTCATCTTCACACATGGGACATTCTCGTTACACAAGAAAATCCAGATCGAGAATCAATTCTTTTATTGAGCCGTACAGTGAGCATTCTTGCCCTTGTGGGGCATGCCGTACTCCACGGTTATAAGCGCTCGTCAATGAAGATTCCAGACTCCCGCAGAGACGGCACTATTGGCTCCCCGCTGTCCCGCCACTGCGAATTGCGGCCTCGATCTGTAATCTTCCCACCGAACCTTGTACAGATAGATCGATGGATAGATATACAGTTAGATATCCATTCCCCATAATTACGTACACTGAGTCAAACACTGGAGATTGTTGTGGTGGGTTCAACTCCGCCGAAGATGAATTATTAGAAGGATTGTACGGTCTCTGTGCGAAAGAGATCTCCATTCAGCCGAACTCCAGAACATTGATAGCTTCGACATTGACTGAGCTTAGACATTGTCGTAGAGATGAGAAGAGGTTATATTGAAGAAGAATTCCCGACAATAATTGGAAGGGTAATTAGTATGCCTACCGACTTACCGTTAGATGCATAATACAAACATCACCAAAACATACTTCTATTACTATTTGGAAGGAGCGACTTCCGTCGTTCCCGACCCGGACATGTTAATGGATGTATGAAGTTCTACCGAGTGATTTATTGACTGATTATATCTCATGAGAGGGCAATCTGTTGAATGATGGATGATGTTACTTGGAGAAGCACTCGAGAGATGATCATTGAAGCAGTATTAGAATCCTCCGAGCACCTGTAGACAAACGGAGTTCCATTTGTATTCCATGAGAAAGCAAGCCTCATAAATATGTTCTGTGTGTGTACACTTGAAACTGTATTCTTCATCATTAGTGTCGATTACTCTTTCTCGGGAGATGCTAGAGCGGATGTGAGACGAGTCCATTTATTCCGACCGGGGGTCCTCTCCGGCGAGGGGGACGCCCTTCCCGGAGCCCGGGTACAACACAGCATGACTGCAAGCGTCTCCTCTGCTCCGATTCGGATTCTTCCTCAATCCATAGAGTCGGAGTCGTCACGATTCCAAACGGTAACCCCAACGATACGGTCATCGGCTTGGTTGCTTTACTCTCCGTCCTATGGAAGTCGTGGAACTCCTTCACCACTTCGCCGGACGCTAATAGGGTTTAGCTGGCCAGACTATGTTTTGACAGTTTCCACCTAACTTCCCACTAGTCGGGCATCTGGGGCGATACGTACGTGAATGCCCTAGGCGCCCGAGACCCCTAGGCCCTCCTCACCCTTAGCGCTTCATGAGACGACAGAAGCATCTGCTAGAGCACTGGTTCTCAATTTTTTTTCCGTGGAACTCCGACAGCACTCCGAATGACCCGCGAAACACTCCACGGAGCTATACGCTGGAATAGAGACTTCCGCGTGAAAAATTCAATGCCTTCAATCTCAATCAGCTCCGACGCTCGAATATTTTATCAAAGATGACCTGATTTGAACCCTCGATGGAAGGTTTCTACCTTACAATGGATGTGATCAATGAGACGGATGACTGAGAGATTTGGGCACGGATTTACTCTGGCCGGTTCTCTGGACGAGGAAAACGCAGAAGGTGTACGTGCTCGTGCAGCTGCATCATGTCGACTGCGCCACATTCTCGACTACAGCCATGAGCTCGCAAGTCAATATCCGTCGCGCACGGTGACGCGTGATCGCGGGTGTTGATTGTATCCGGAGCGGGAGGAGAACCCCATA